TTTTTACAATTATGCATTCGAAATTTGCCCACGTCATAAAACCCAAGCCGCAGTTTTGGGCACACTCTCGCTAAACCTGAAAAGAAAAAAATATAATTAGTAAATTAAAATGAGTTAAAACTTACAGCGAATGGTTTAAGGTTAATACTGTGCTCATAATATAATCATAATATAATCATCTTAATAAGAGTCAAAATCTCATAAAGCTGTGAAAGTCGTTGAACCTCTTGTAATCCTCAATTATATTGAAGATTTCTTGAATATAATGAATTTGTGGCTAAGCGATTTTTGTGATGATAAAAATTCAATGAAATGTTTTATAAGCATAAATATTACATAAATATAAATCTCCATAGATGATTGCAATATACAAAATGTACCAAACCAAATTAATACTACATAATACTGAAGTACAAAATGTATTAAAAAATTATTACAAAATAATTGAATATAGAGAACATTATGAACATCTTATTACATATAGAATAATAATAAATTAGTTTTAAGAATTCATAAAAAAAATCAAGATACATAGCAATATTTGAGATCAATTCAACACATTAGGCATATAATTAGAAAAAAATTCATTCATATGTGAATCACCTAAATATTTACTATTATTTCTCAAAGTATCTTTTATATGTAATATAGTTGATGCCCATATATTTATAAAAGAGAAAACATACACATAATAAATGAAGAATATAACAATATTTTATAAAAATTCATAACATGTCAACAAATCAATAAGGTAAAAATTTCATTTTTTTGTGAATCATCTGGATATTGAAATATTTATTTTTTATCACAAACTTTGCTTGATAAATATGTTAAATATGAGATCAGATTATAATAAACTAATAACGTAGTAACTTTTATATTTAAAGTTATAGGTATAAACGTAATAAATCCATTAAAAGTAGAATATAGCAATATTTCAGGTAAAAATTTCATTTATATCTAAATCACCAGACTATTGTAATATTTACTTTCATATAAAGTAATTTCAAAGAGGACTATAATTATGTAAAAGTTAAGAATACATAAATATAGTAAATTTATGTATAATATAAAAAATATTTGATATAATTCATCACATATCAACATAAAAATTCCACAAATAGTAAAATTTTTGGTGAGGTTTCTAAATATTAAAATATTTATTTTTATCACAAACTTTGTTAGAGATAACAATTTATATTATATGAAAAAAGAAATATTTTAAATTTTAAATTAATAATATTAAAGTTATAGATTTATGATATAAGTTTATATAGATGAAAAATAGATAGCAAAGTATAGCGACATCTCAGCTCATTCATCATACATTGAATAATAAGATAATATCTCATTATATCTGAATCATCTGAATACTGAAAAATCACTTTTTATAATATAAGGTAAATATTTCATATAAATCAATAAGGTAAATATTTTACATTTTCACAAACTTAGTTTGAGATAATGACTTAATAAGTGAGAGATATATTGTAAATCTGAGATCAGGTTATAATAAACTAATAAGATAGTAATAGTAACTTGTTTATTAATTGAAGTTATAGATATAAAAGATTATATAGACGTAAACGTGTTAAAAATATGTTAAAAGTAGAGTATAGTAATATTTCAGGTCAGCATTCATCGACTAATAAGGTAATAATTTCATTTAAATTTGAATCATCTGAATACTGAAATAATTATACTTTTTATAATATAAGAAAATATATATTATATATATATATATATATATATATATTAGGAAGGCCTTTAACCCTTTGCACTCGGATACCGCCGGCGGCAAAATTCATATGAATCTCGGTATTAGCGAGTGGAAAAGGTTAATATGGACAATTTCCTTGCTCCCATGGGCTCAAATGCTTCCAAATTGATGAAAAAATACTCTATAAGTTTTAGCTCTTAATATAGTCTTTTAGATGGTGCGCAAATCAATGAAAGTTTTGTATGGAAATAGCATAAAAAAAATTCAAAAAAATTAAAAATGTTTTTTAAATATAACTTAGCAAACAAATGAAGGAGTTATAAAAGTATAAAAAACTTTTGATTCACTTGTCGCTAAGTTATACCTAAAAATTTTTTTATTTTTCCAAATTTTTTCCATACAAATTTGGTTGAATTGCGCACTATTTACACGTTAATATTAAGATCTAACACTTCTAGAGATTTTTTTTATCAATTTGGAAGCATTTAAGCCCCTGGGAGCGATGAAATTCAAAAATGTGTCCATATTAAGGACCACCCTAATATATAAATATAATTATCTTATTTTATGACTAGATTAATTGACTAGTTGTTTTTGGTATTATTGAGTGTTGATACTGATATTATGAACTATCAAGAATGCTCGCTGATTTCGTCTGTTTTAATATCTTTAAATTTGTGATCACACATAGTACATCTCATCAAAATTCACATCCACACGTTTTTTGAAGATGAATGGCAAATTGACTAAAATCTGAAGCAACCCAGTTGCATTTTCTGCAAACAAACTTGGAATTTGGACTTGGTGAAACTCCATCTGATGCAGCCTTGTTCGATGATGGAGTAATTTGTACATTGTTGTCTAAAATTTAATCAGGTACAAATTAATATTAGTATTTTTTTATTTATAACTAAGAAAATAGGTATATATAATTTGGTAAATTTAAATAAAGTTTAATTTTAGACATCAAAATTTAGGAATAATCACTGTTCGGATGAATCAGGTGTATTTTGTCCTAACTTTTAGACGTATTTCAAGAAACATGAAATGAGCTTACTGTTGGGCGTTTTCGAAAAAGTCCTCAACTTCTTCGAAGAATTATCTTGACTCGTGAATCCATTTTTATTTGTCGAAGGCGTCTTAAAATTTTGTGATAATTTTTCTTGATTATTTGGCTCCAAAAGTTTTTCTGGAGTAACCAGAATATCTGCGTTTGAAGAAAGCTTCCTACGTTTTTCTACGGCAGTTTGACTATTGGTGTTTGATGACAACATCCTAAATTTTTGTGACAAATTCTCTTGCGAATTCTGCGATGATTTTTTCAGCAATCGTTCTTTTAGTGCTTCGAGTGGAATATTATCATCCCATTCACTAAATGAAACTATTAAATTTCTTCTTGGTGGTAAAAGCTTTATTGAAACTTCGTCAAAATCCAATATTCTGCGGTGAATTGGTGTCGATGTTAACAATTCATTATCACTTTCAAACATTTTTTCATAGGTGAAATCACCTGCTAAAAAATACAAATCATATTATGAACAAATCAACATGATTAAATAAAGTCATAATAAATTATAAACAAATCTTTATATTATAATTAATACACATCAAGCTACGCAATATTACAAAGATTTTACACAAATAAACAACAAAAATCATAAATCATTTATATTTTAAACATATTATTATAATCAAACATATATTTAATTTGCATTTCATATAAACATTTTATTATATAAATTTTCATAAAAATATTTTTTTTAAATTATATAAAAACATATTCTATATGTTTTTATAGAATATTTATCTTATTCTATGATACATAATTTCGATATTTTTAAAATGACGAGATTCAGAAAAAAAACACTTTTTTGAAAAAGCAACAAATCAATAAACATTTCAAAAATGTTTTTTACTAGTAATTCATGTTTAAAAAATCTTATTGTAAAATAATGATTTTTAGCAGTTTAAAAATAGTTTGCTTCAATTTCTTAAAAATTAGAGGCGATATTTTAATGAAAACGGTGAACGATGATATTTTAAAATTAAAGCCGTACTTCAGATAAACATTTCATTTTTAAATATTATTATGAAATAAATTAACAATTTGGAGATTATGGCAATTATTATAAAAATAGAAGTTGTTATGAAAAATGTTATCATTTATTTTCTATAGATTTCTAAAATATCGTAGAGAATTTACTATATACATGAACAATCTTTATAATTTTATTATAAAGCTATAGCACAACATTTTATCAATTAATTTCGAGATAATTGGTATTAATAATAATACCAATTATCTCAATAATTTTTATTTTTAACAGTAAATGGCAATAATGATTATTAATTAGAATTGTATAAAATATAACAGCAACATATATCTAAAATCATATTAAGGGGCTAATTCTGCGATAAAATAAACCGTAACATCTGACGGTTTTCACTACCAATTTATTTGAAGAAAGGCCGTAGCCGTTGCCATGACAACGCAATGTTAAGGTCTATTTTATCGGAGAATTGGACTCTATATCTGGGATTTCAAGAAAATCTTAAGCTGCCATTAATCACGTGCTCGATTCTTTAAGGATTTTTGGATCCATCTCCCCCGCGGTAATCAAAACTAACCCCCCTCCCCCACAATAAACATCACGAATATTTTTAGTTCGGCAAAAAAATTGTAAAATTGTTGATTTTTTTTTAAAATGCTTAAATTTTTTAAGAAAACTCAGGTATAAAATAAATCAAGTGATATTTTACTACACCCCTCCCTCCCCCGAGTGGTATTTTGTGATTTTTTATCAAACGACCCCTCCTTCTAAAAACCTCACGTAATTAATGGACGCCCCCTATACAGCAAATAACATAACAAATGAAAAGTTTAATGATATTATTATTACAATATGGCAGTGAAAACTCGTAACGCATTAATTTTGTATTTTTAGTTTTAATCAACAGATAATATACTTCGAATGTTTTCGAATGAATTATTATGGCAAATATGCATTATTAAGGATAGTTTCTAGAAACATCAATTTAAACTTTATGTTTCAGCTGTATATGTTTCCCTATATTATAATTAAAATGTGTCTTGTAAGAGCAAAATGCCATCGGGCAATGAAATTGAGGTTCTATGCCACACTCATACTTGATGTGCCGATTTAAAATAAATCTTTTACTATAACTACGATTGCACTTTGGGCATGGAAATATAGATTTTCCTCCAGACATCAAGGTTTCCAATTTGCTAATTTGAGAAGGATTTCGTTTCACTTTTGGAGAATCAAATAACAATTTTAGTGCACATCTTTCATTGTGAAATTGATGATATTCTGTTTCGAAGTAAAGAAAGCAGTACTTGCATTGGAAAAATCCGTCATCATCTAAAACAGTGAAAAATAGAATAATTGGATTAATATTAAATGAATAGGTTTACATTGGGTAATACATTTAGTTAAATGAAAGTTTTACAATAAAGGAAAATAACATTTATTGTAAAATTTTAGCCGTGTTTTGTTAAAATTTACATATATTGAACATGATTTAACGATTTTTACAAGGGCATCACATATTTTCAACACATACATATACCCTTATATATCTTAGGGTGGTCCTTAATGTGAAGATTTTCGAATTTCCTTGCTCCCAAGGGCTCAAATAGTTCCAAATTGATAAAAAACAATTCTCTGAAAGTTTTAGCTCTTAATATTGTCTTTTATATAAAGCGCAATTGAATCAAAGATTTGTATGGAAATAGCATGGAAGAAATTTCGAAAATTTTAAAAATGTTTTTTATGTATAACTTAGCGACAAATGAATTAAAAGTGACAATTCGTGTCATCTACTATTAAAAATTAACGCTCTGCAAAACAGGTTTTTTAGAATTTGTTTTGTAGAGCGTCGAATGTTTAATAAAACTCAATTATTTGTTCGCTTTTTGAAATTTTCCCATGCTATGTCCATACAAAACTTTTATTGATTTGCACACTATCTGAAAGACAATATTAAAAGCTAAAACTTATAGAAGATTTTTTTATCAATTTTGAAGCATTTGAGCCCTTGGGAGCAAATTATTTTGATTCGGGCGGTAACACCAAGTAAAAAAGTTGTTTACTTGGTTTAAGTTATTTACTTGATGATATGATTAATAATTGATAATTTCATTTAATTTACAAAATACGTATTTATTGATGCTACTACAATATTTGAAAATACATATTGATCTATAAAAGATTTTATGATGTATTTAAAAACAATTATTACAAACAAAAAATGAACATCTAAACTACAATTTACAATATAATAATATTTTCTATTTACAGAATATAATAAATATATTTTTATCATTTTCTAGAATTTTATGCTGCAGCAGCATACTTATTTTTTCAAGATTATAGTATTGATTTTATACACAGAGAACATATCTAATAATTGTTATTAGTATTCCAGAAGACAGGTCCACCATGTAAAAGAATTCACCATTATTCATTTTTTTATAGTTCACTTTTTATATTTGATTATCAAAAACTGAAGACAGATATTTAGAGCCAAAATAAAACAAAATAAAACAGAACAACTTGTTGAACTATTGAAACATTAACTTATATTGTAAAAAACTTTTTCTTTTCATATTGCTTCTCATATCCATTAATTTTGCGATGTTATGATATAGGAGTGAATCTGGATTTTTTATTTAGATTTGCTTTTTGATCTTTTTTACTTCAAGTAAATGCTTAAAATTGCAGACATTTAATATCAATCGAGGAATGGTATAAAATAAAATATAACAATTTTATTGATAATTTTTAGAGAGAAAAACTTGTTTTCATATCGCTTTTCATTCAACGGATTTTTTATTTCGTACTTGTAGTAGGCATTTTTAATTTCTTTCGTACGCTGCATTTCTTTTTCTAAATAAAAAATATAAAGTAAATTTAATATTTCATATATTTTACGTAAATTAGGAATAAATAGAAATGGACTTTAATATATAAATTAGTAGACGTATGGTGATATTTGTAGAACTATTACTAGAAAAAAACACATATTTATATTTATTACTTTCACACTTTAAAGAGACCGTGCTCCATAGCTGCTCCCAAAAACGACTCCACCATCATTTGTGAACTTAATTTTACAAATTAAAAAAAAAAAACAGAATTTAAAGTAAACTTGTATTACTCTCACTTTTGCTTTGTGAAAGAATAATTTTCAAATCGAATAAACTATGAATATTCCGACAATGGTATTCTAGAACAGCTTTCCTCGTCGATTTGTATGGACAACGTGGACAAACAAAACTAGGTTCAACTCCACATTCATATCTTAAGTGCCTGATTAAATTGTGTCTATGTTTATAAACCCTTTTACATTTTTCACACCTAAACATGTTTTCTGATTTATTTTGAACAAAAGTTGATAGAACATCACGATTGACCTGGGACGATGGTTGGCTGAATGGTAAAACTCTGTGAGATGGTTTTAGGAGCAGGAAGCCTGGAAGAAAAATAAATATGTTAGATAAAAGTAATAACAATTTAAATTTACCAAATTTAAAAAAATACTCATTTTAGATAAGTAAATAAAAAACGTGTATTCAATACAAATTTATTATATATTATCAATAAAACAATACAATAGATGTTTTGAATCTTACCATTTAACCAACCATCTGTGACGATAGTTGGTTAAATGATAAAACTCTTAAAGGTGGTTTTAGGAGCAGATAACCTAGAAGAAAATAAATATGTTAGATAAAATTAATATAAATTTTAACTCACCAAATTTTGTAAAATTTTCATTCTAAATATATAAATAAAAAACATATATTTGATACAAATTTATTATATATTATCATTAAATCAATACAATAGATGTTTTGAATCTTTAACCAACCATATGTGAAGATGGTTGGTTAAATGGTAAAACTCTGTGAGATAGTTTTACGTGCAGGTAACCTAGAAGAAAATAAATATGTTAGATAAAATTATTAAAAAATTAAAAACACCAATTGTTATAATATTTTCATTCTAAATAAATAAATACAAAATATATATTTCAACAAAATATATATTATCAACAAATCAATACAAATGCAAAACTATGTATGCAGAGATCATAAAAGTAAAAATTGTTTAAAACTAATTTTACATATAACTATATGACTAGCTTTAGATCGTATACATGATATACGATAAAACATTTTGAAACATACTTCATATATATATATATATATATATATATATATATATATATATATATATATGATATTAAGTTTGAAGACGAATTACTTACATCATGCGTTTTTTACAACTTATATCATAAGAAAGACTTTTATAACTCATCAATTAGAATTTAGTTTGGCAGAATACTTAAAAATATTAAACATTAAAGTCAGGACTTTTGTTGCACTCTCTAATCGTTTATTGACATTTTAAATCATAAATTTTGTGTTAGAGAATAATTTAATAGCTATTTGTTACAATTTGGTGTATTTACAACTAAAGAAAATACAAACAGGACTTTTCAAAAAATATCTATTTGATTTAGCACATTAATCGCCATGACAGTGCCCGACGTTAAAAAATTCTACGTAAACTATGTCAGACACAATAATCCCAAAATTAGTTAAAAATGTATTAAAAAACCTAATTCTTTAAAGAACGGAACTCTTATGTCTGACATAGCCCTATATTAATTTATTATTATAGGTATTATTTTTTTGTCGACAAGCCATTCGTGTCAGCCTTATATGTAAGCCAAAAAAAAAATCAGTTTTTGTTCCTAATAGGCCAAGGCCAAGGCCTTTCGAAACATAATGCAAATGTATCGTTTTCTTAGCACCAGACACCAATGTCTGACAGAAATCAAAAATTTTCGAAAAATTCTGTTTGTGTTCCTTTTGTAGCAAATAGCCATTAAATGATGAAATGAAACATAAAATTTATTACTTAAAATATTAACAAACGTTTAACAACTAGAGGCCTGGAATAAAAAAAAATGGAACTGCACTGCTGCAATAAAATCCTAATTGTAAGTATGAAAACGTCTTGAAATTTTAATACATCTGGCCAATCTGCGCAAATGTTCATTTTACATGTCTTACAGAATGTCGATTAAGATTTGATTTATAAAAAGTCGCATAAGAACAAAGATGACATTTATATTCCGGAGGTTTTCCGCATTCAAAATGCAAATGAGCTTGTAATGTGTGAAGAAATTTGAAAGATCTGGAACAGTTATTACACTGAAAAGGATATAATCCTGCCACTTCTACATGACGATGATAACCTGAATTTCTTGCAGCGGGATTCTCTGAAACATAAATATATTTGTAATTAATAATTAATAGGTAAATTGGAACAAGGTACTTTACATAGGATACTGATTTTGTAACATCTTCTTGGATTAAGGACCTGCAGAAAGTTTATTACTAAAACTATCACAATAGAGAATAACAATCCTTACTTCTTCATCGCCAACAAACTAATTTAAAATAATAAAATTAAAATTAATGAAAATTTTATAAATTTTAAAGTATTTTATTTCGAATGGAATTTCATCTAGATTTTTCAAAAATATATTCCAGTAGGTACATCACGAGTAGGTTTTTAATTCACAAACTAGAAAATTTTAAAGGTTAGTACTTTTACATGTAGTAAATATATGACTTTCTCTCTTCAATTCAAGAGAGGATGTGCAATTTTCACATGTTTTCCAAGATCACTTTTTAAACGTGCTCTATAAGGACAAAACCCACATAGAAATTTTGGTTCAACACCACATTGGTACTTTTTATGTCTGCTAACATTTCCTCGACTACAATATATTTTGCCACATTGATTACATTGATGCTGTTGTTTTTTAAACACACTATTTTCTTCATAACCATAGTAATTCAAATCTTGAATCCCTAAAATGAAATTATTTATTGTTAATTACTATAATGCATACAGGTACATTCTGATTATGATAACATTGTAAAATACAATATAGTTTGATTTTAGTTTGATAAAAGTATATTTTCACCCGTACAAATTTACAATTTTATTACTTAGATGCTTAAATAATTTAATATAATACTATAATATTTTTACTAAAAATCATTTTTATATAGTACTTTTATACATAATAAATATGAGTCTAAAAAATATTTAGAAATTTTATCCATGAATAAAACCTTAAATATTTAATATTTTGAAAAATATACATGAATAATGTGTTGCCATTCAAAGTTTCATAATTAAGTACATAAATATAAATATAAAATGCAGTCTAATGTTTTGTCTGACTATAAACAAAGATTATTTGCATTTATCATAGTGATGTGATTACTCAAAAACTAATTTAATTTTAATTCGTAAAACTTTGTTGCAAAAATATTTGCAGCAAAAATGATAAATACAAAATATTAGGTACATACATTTTTAATTAAAATCAGAGAAGCATTCAATTTTTGCTGTCATATCGCAAAATAACAGTAGATTTCTGTAGATTTCACAAATAATTACAAAAATTGAACTACAATTTGATTAATATTTATAACTTTTATAGTAAAAAACATACTAAAATTAGGATTTATGTAAATAAAATCCTAAAATAAATATAGTCAACCAATATAAAAACAATTAAAACCTACAATAAATAATTGATGTTGCACTAAAATTTAACATATATAAATGTTGTCATGCTTATATAATATTTATATAGATATATATATATATATATATATATATATATAAGCAAGCAACATAAGTGTTTTATCAGTTAGATAAAATATTTATTTACAATACATAAACAAATTAATAATTATTAACAACTAATCAAAATACAAATTTGAGATAAATTCATCATAATTTTTTACATTCATTTTCTTCTAATTCTACATGGGTACTAAAACATTTTTGCTAAAAAAAATATGTTGAACCAAAAAACCTAAAAATAAATCTAAATTAAAATCTGTATGGTTATTTATTCAAACAAATTTTCCTTTAGTAATGTTATTGATGCATGGATTTCATAAACTAATATTACACATGTAATTCATTTAACCAATCATTTTTGCCCATGACTTAATTTACAATCAAATCAATAAGACGCCCTAAAAATTTTCTATATCCACATACACTATACATTATTTCCTAGCCCAACTAAAATAACTTATTTAATTTTATGTTTGGCAAAAGAATGAGCCCTCAGACTCTCTTTTCTGTGACATTTATACCCACAAATATTGCATTTAAATTGTCTTTCTTGGCCACATTCATATCTCAGATGACGTCTTACACTCTGATTATGCATATATAACTTTAAACATTTTTGGCATTGGTACATCAGGCCTTCATCAGTCCATACGACATTGCTATCCTGCTCTGGAGGAAAAGTCCTTTTAGATTGCTGGGTCTGCTTGGTCATAAATCCAGAATTTGAAAAAGCACTATCCCTAGCGAATGAGAATCCTGAAAAGAACAAATTGAAAAGTTAGTTAAAAAAACTTAAAAAAAATTATATGAAATTCAAAAATCCACAATACCATTCAATATAGGAAATAGGCATAACTACAATCCTGAAAAAACAAGTACATTAGATATAGTATTTATTGCAAAAATCTGTATTTTGTATTTTATGTACAATTTTTATAACACATTATAAAACTAAATAAGATTTGTTGAACACTGAAATTGTGTAAAAGAATAATATACTAATGTATTAATATAAACGACGAATTAAAGGAGCACATATGTGTTCAATCGCAGTGCATTATGAAAACTGATCAATGTCACACAGCACGTGTGGTAGAGTGAGTGGAAGCAGGGTGTAAGAAACAAAAGAGAAAATGAGAAACAGATATATATATATATATATATATATATATATGTATGTATATAGTTCCAAATCGTTCACAATAATTAATAATATTTATAAAAAAACTTTTGTTTTTTTGTAAACTTTTTCCAAAAAAATATTTATTTAATTTTTTTATACAACTATTGCTACGTTCCGGGAACATAGTATGTCCTCGTCTTCAGAAAAAAATAAGAAAAATGTTAAAACATATATACATTTTGCAATTATTTGAAAATCACTGCTCTCTTTTTAAATGTTCAAATTAAAATTGTTTTAATAAAACACTAACAAAAATAAATTTTCTAAGAAATATAAATAACATTTGAGTAATAGATGTGTTTCGTTGCGTGTATACTAAAAACTAAAAATAGTAAATTAATATCTAAATTGATTTTATGATTATAGTAAAAAAGATTTTTTTTATAATTTAGGTATAAAAAAATAATATCATAAATTTATACAAATATTATTTAGTCTTGACAAATTTGCCCTTAACATGGTGCGTTAAGTGTTATCTAATTAATTTAAAACATTTCGCAAAAGTAAATAAATAATAAATTTAACATATAAATTACAATTAGTCCTAACTAAGATCTAAGTTCCAAACATGCCAAAGTCAAAAAAATCGAAGTGATATGATAACAAGGTAAATGATACTGAGATGTTATATAAAAATAGATTTTCCTCATAATATTATAACAAAAATAATTCGCTTTTTTTTAAACTTCATTGCCCATGTATTTTTATATGTTGCATCAAATTATCTTTTCTGCTGCACAATTTTTTGCATACGGGGCACTCAAATTGTGGTTCTATACCACAAACAAATCGAACATGTTTATATAATCCATTGTACGTAGAATAAATTTTAAGACATTTGCTACAGGTATATTTATAAGTGTCTGCAGATATATTTTTAAATTCTTCTAAATTACAATCCTTTTTCTGGTGTCTGTAGAGTTGAAATATATCTGTAAAAACTAGGCTGCATTTCGAACAATGTATGTAGTAGCTCTGCATCGAATCTGAAACAATAAATAATTAATGAGAAAAATTGTTAAATAGTTTTATTAAATAAAATCAAGAAATAGATAATTAAATTACATACCTCAACATTTAAAAAACATACAAATATATCTTCATAACATTTATTCATAAATGACCACAGTATAATAAAATATACTCCAATATTAAAATAATAATAATAATATATCTTGATTTAACTATATACAACTTAATCTATGTAAAAAATACATATACATTTTTGGCACGATAGACCAAAATTTTGGCCTAATTTCGTACACAAGTAAATAATTATTAGATCAAATATATTATGTAAATAACTTGCTTCAACTTAACGCATTGTATTTAATTTATTATTATGCCAGTGGCATTTTAACAACGTCCAAGTAATAATAAAAGTCTTGTAAATGTTTCCATTATACAAATAATAAAAATATAAATAAAATAATTTTAAGTGTAAAAGGTTACACTTTATGTCGTAGGTACTGATGATGCTGCAGACTCAAAAGTTTTCTAACGCAAATCACTGCAGGTTCCTATGTTTTCTCGATCTATGTCTTATCAAACTTTGTTTATGGTAAAATCTAAAATGACAATGTTCACAAGAAAATTGAGGTTCTTTTCCACATTTAAATTTCACATGATTATAGAGACCTCCTGCGGTCTCATAGGGTCGTCTGCAACCTGGACAAAAATGCATTGCACCATTTGCTGACCTCTGACTGGAATTTTGCCAATATGCAGAAGGTAGCTGTTGTAAACCTGTGAAAATCAATAAAAGACATTAAATAGTTCTAGAAATAAACGTATATGATCAACATTTATAGAGAAACTAAGGAAAATTAGAATTTGAAAGACTATGATGTATTGTCGTTGGAGTGACACATATTTTATATCTGTAATGATACTTCCATTTAAAGAAATGTTATCAGTGCATTTTAGGTTTTATTAATTACCTATTTGTAAATATATATATACAACATTTAATATAAGTCTAAAATATTATAAACATCAGCTGTATTGATCGTTTGTAATATATACTACGTATCAATATGATTAATTTAGGCCTTAAACTTTGATGACTCAATTAAGATAAAATTTTATATACATACATTATACATTTCGAACAATGTATGTAGCAGCTCTGTATCAAATCTGAAACAATAAATAATTAATGAGAAAAATTCGTAAATAGTTTTATTAAATAAAATCAAGAAATAGATAATTAAATTACATACCTCAACATGTAAAAAACATACAAATATATTTTCATAACATTTATTCATAAATGACCAGAGTATAATAAAATAAAGTCCAATATTAATATAATAATAATAATATATCTTGATTTAAAAACTATATACAACTTAATCTATATAAAAAATTTACATATATATTTTGGCACGATATGCCAAATTTTTTACCTAATTTCGTACACAAGTAAACAATTATTAGATCGATTATGTAGCTTACTTTCCTCAACTTTAACGCATTGTATTTAATTTATTATTATGCCAGTGGCATTTTAACAATGAGCAAGTAATAATAAAAGTCTTGTAAATGTTTCCATTATAAAAATAACAAAAATATGAATAAAATAATTTTAAGTGTAAAATGTTATACTTTATATCGTATTTACTGATGATGCTGCAGACTCAAAAGTTTTTTAAACCCAAATCACTGCAAGTTCCTATGTTTTCTCAATCTATGTCTTATCAAACTATGTTTATGGTAACATCTAAAATGACAATGTTCACAAGAAAATTGAGGTTCTTTCCCACATTCAAATCTCATATGAGTATAGAGACCTCCTGCGGTCTCATAGGGTCGTCTGCACCCTGGACAAAAATGCTTTGCAGCATTTTGTGGCCTTTGTCTAAAATTTTGCCAATACGTGGAAGGTGGATAGATGAAAGGTTGTTGTAAACCTGTGAAAATCAATAAAAGACATTAAATGGTTCTGGAAATAAAGATTTATGATCAACATTTACAGAGAAGCTAACGAAAATTATCTGTAAAGATACTTACATTTAAAACAATTATATCAGTGCATTTTACGTTTTATTAATTACATATTTATAAATATATATACAATATTTAATATAAGTCTAAAATATTATAAACATCAGCTGTATTGATCGTTTGTAATATATACTACGTATCAATATGATTAATTTAGGCTTTAAACTTTGATGACTCGATTAAGATAAAATTTTATATACATACACTATACAAGTTCAACTAATTAATATTATTCAAATAAATATGAATATTTTTGTTTTTCATAATATCACAAATTATTAAAATCCGGTAACTTAAGAGCACAATGTATTTTGATACATATATATACTATAAAAAAAATTTTGCTTTGTTTTCAATGACTAATTGCAAAAATTGCAAAAATTTATATATATATATATATATATATATATATATATATATAATTGAAAATATAAGTACGGTTTTGTATTGACGTTGACTTATGAATTGACCTAGTCTAATAATCAGGCATATCACCAATGAAAAACATAAATTTACTTAAAAATGTATTCTAATATACATACGTTTCGGCTATAATCCTAATCATCAGGGAAAATTTGCTTATCCTTGTCAAAGACAAATGGGATAAGCTAATTTTCCATTCAATAAAATCTAATAAATTTTTTAATAGATTCATGTTTTCATTCATGTTATACTAAATTATAAGAATTTGTCAATGCATGATGTTGACATCATATATCATTTAAAACTTTATTTATTACAATCAATATATTGCACGATACTATCAAATTGATAACTTATATACAATACAATCACTTTCTTCAAAATCTAAACACAATATCAACAAAAAATCTTAATAATATATCTTTTTTGTTATAACTTTAACTACAATCTGCCATAAGTTTCCTCCGAGATACGGAGCAAAAAGTGCAAAAACAACCGGTGTTTGAGAGAACGACTTATCCGATTAGAATGATTCGTATTCGTATTGATTGTGTGAACAACTGAGAAGGCAGGTCCAGGAGTTTCAAAGATACGGAGCGTAAAGTACAAAGAATAGCAATGTATGAACAGTTTGTTTCGCAACCGATTAGAATGATTCAAAAAGTATAATGTTTGTGTAGAGTAGACGGTGTAAAGAAATGATTAGGTTTTGTTTGTTTTGTTTTGGTTCTTGTAGATAAACATAGATAAAGGTCATCGCTCAAATATAAGCCTAAATATAATTTTTATTATATTAGATCAATAAGGGCTCGCCCATAGATAAGCGTTCAAGAGCGGCGGGACTTGAATTAGAGATCTCGGGTTCAAGCAGCCTGTTGTCAGGCAGCAATGACAACAATTTTCAACTGGGAATATAGATAGCAATATGTTTCCAAGTAAAAATAGCCCTCACCATGCATTACTGCACCAATAAAAATACTCGCCCTGTTGCAGAAATTATAATAATAATATATCATACAGAGACAACAGATTGAGTTGCCATCTGCTAAACAGACTAGTAGTAAGTCAAATCAGCATAATAGCTTGTAGGGCTATTATGTTGAAAAATAAAAAAAATCCATAAAATACGACAATAAAATTTACAGTATTTACAATAATTAATTCTAAATATCTAAAACAACTGTTATCACTCAATTGCTAAATTTTTATTGATGATTGATTATTTTTATTTCGCGAATGTTTAATTACTGTACGGGAAGTTCCAGCAATTTGCCTTACGGCACAATGCCATGCACCAGTAATTTTCAATTATTACTATAATTACACAATTCACTTTTAACTGGTATGCCCGTGGCAGAAGAAACCGCCACCGTCAAATTATGTTTCAGTCTATAATGTCGTTTGAGACTATGTTTATGATGTGTCCTATAAGGACATTGCAAACATCTAAATTGTGGTTCGATTCCACATTCGTAGTGTCTATGGGTGTACAATCCACTCTGACTTTTGTAAACTTTCGTACAATTTGGACATTTGTACTCCTCAGGAGCTTCTTGCATCGATGAGAGTACTTGAACAGCCTGAGAATGAGAATTCATGTATCCTAATAATTGTTTACCGAAACGCCATGGGAGATGTGCTGAAAATAGGAAAATGGATATAAGTTAGATGGATATTTTCGATTTTTGATTATGATACGAAGCAACAAACATATGTTTTCACTAATGAATTCTAGGTACAAGCATATACAAACACATATAGACACAGTACTGATCGAATTCGTTCTCATAGTACAGACCGAAGTTTAAATTCGGTAATCTGATAATATGTCTTTGAAAAATATATTTTACTTACTTTATTACATCAGTTTAGTTGCAGTTACCATTTACTATTTTTTTGTATTCTGCGAAACAAATAACATTAATTTTGCACAAACAATACAAATTTATTAACAAGTGAATTTGACTGATACATTAATGTAGAAAAGTCCTGAAATAAAACAGGATTTTTTTAATAATTTAAAATTTATTGAATAGGTACATACATATGTCAAATTTCAATATTATTAACAATTATTTATAAATAATATACGCTTTCATTAATAAATTAATTTTAGTCTTCAAAGAGCAAATATGATATGAAATATTTCCAATATCTAAAACAATCACTATTAAAATATAAGGCATTTTTTAAATCCATTTTAACATTTAAACAATTTTTCTATATATTATGTAATTTCTTGATAATTGTAATAAATAAATAAATAAATAATGGGTGGAACTGCCCTTGCCCGGGGACAGTCATCAAATATATATTTGATCTATATTTTCAAGTGAAAATTGATATCACTACTGCATGATATCAGGTTATCTAGAGCGCGAGTTCGAACTCATAAAAGGCATAAGGCATTGCGCTTAATCGTTACGCAATGGAACACCGTATTACATATTATTACATTAATAATTGTAATATAATGTTGTTATATATATATATATATATATATATATATAATATTTTCGAGTGAAAATTGATATCACTACTGCAAGTTATCAGGTTATCACGACCTATCCACACAAGGCACTTGCGCTTAACCGTTACGCCACAGAGCATCGTATTACATATTATTATATTAATTATTGTAATATAATGTGATAAATTAGATATAAAATAGATTCTCAAGTGTGAATTGATGTCACTACTGCATGATATGATGTTATCACGACCTGTCCACGCAAGGCATTGCGCTTAATCGTTACGTCACGGAACCATATTATATAATATAATAAATATTGCATATTAATAATTGTAATATGATATAATATATTAACTATGAACTAAAATTTCATATTTCCACTATAAATATTTAAAATATATACAACCTATTATAATTCATTCTTATGCAAAGTCTTTTAGGATTTGTTAAGCACCAACTTGGATAAAAAGGATAATAAAAAATTTCCATTCTACTAGAAAAACAATTTGGTTATCATCTATATAATACACAAGTCGCTGCAATGTTTGGTCAGCATATGATTCTTCAGAACATTTCTTCTATTACAGGCATAAGGACAAAGTGTACATCTATGTTTCCTGAGCTGATTGCAATTTGTAGAAATATGGTTTGCCAAATTACTTTTATGTTTGTAAGCCACTCCGCATTTTTCACATACGTGGATTCTGCCAGAGTTATCTGAGTTGATTGCAGCATTATAAACCTCAACTAGTGATAGTGGAAAATCTGTTTTGAAATTAAGAAAACCTAAAATTAAAAAATATTATGGTTAATTACATGGTTTAAACAATATGTTAATATGCAAAAGTTATGTTACCATCTTGTGATGCCAAGAAATAAATAGGTGCACATAAATATAAAGTCTTTTGAATGTTATTAAAATGAAAGAAGTAATGAGAAATGAAATGCATGCTTAAAAAAAATAGGTGCATTTTGAATTACAATATGATTATTATTTTATTATAGAAATAACTTCAGTAAGTAGCTGTGATAAAATCTTAATCCAGTGATTTCCACCCTGTGAGGTTGTTGCAAGAAGAGCATGCACCTGTTTTCCAAATGCTGTTTAAGAAACAAACCAAAATAGTAGAATTGGTATCAAAAAATTAATAAATAAATATTTTTTATATATATTTCCTCAAAATATTTGGTATTATAATATCAGTTAGTTAATCATAAAACTAGATTGATAAAAATATTAAGGGACGTAAATACAAAAGGTTGAAAACTACTGTCTCCATTCAAATCAAATTCTACACGCGAGTCCTATATAATATAATACAAACGATTGTAATTATAAGGATGGTTATAATTCAATCATTAAATCAATAACATAAACATATAACAACAACGTATCGATTACATATTTTAATTAATAACAATTTATATATGTATCATACTTCACAGCGCCTAAAAGAAGAGCAAATATTTTTGAACATTTGCAGTTGATTATGTGTTCTTTTTTAAAAACAATATTTTTTCGCCGGCTTTTTTACTATTCCTATGCACTAGTAGATGTCTTTTCAAATTCGAATTTCTACCAGATACATAAGAACAGTGAGGACATTCGTATCTTGCATTTTCGCAATCCATCTTTAAATGTTGAACAAAACTGCTATGACGACTATATGCCAATCCGCATTTGTCACACTTGTATGGTCGCCTTCCATCAATTAATGGATTTAGAACAAACTCGTGGAATGCATTATATTCAGTGTTTGGTTCAGTCGATTTCCAAAATTCTGAAAAACAATAAAAATTTGGTTAGAAGACTTGATTTGATCTGGTACTGCCGGGATGATCAAACAACAAACTTCAAATGATTTCTTGTGATAAGATATAATAAGGAGAATTTATAATAATGTAATATAAGTTGATGAAAAAAAACTTAAATGAATGATAGCACTCATATAGTGAAACGACACAATAAATATTTAAAGTATTTTGAATATATATATTTAGGTTTAACTGCCCTAGGCAGGTCCGTGAACTGTTAAACTCTAACTCGATTCAGGGAAGAATAGTGTAAGAAATTTCCCATTGCCATTTCACACCGCAGAGCCGAAAATGGGTTATTCTCATTGGAAATATATTTTTTATCTATATTTTGATGGTGGACATCGCTACTGCACGATATCAGGTTGTTCAGTGCGGGGTTCGACCTCTCGACCCCGTCCTGAGTTTAACCATTACACCATGGAGTATACATATAAAATTTATGTACAACAATTACAATAATTAAAGAAATAAGTTCTGCTAATTCATAAGAGAGTTAATTTATTAAAATTTATCACAATGCTGGAACAAAAAATATTATAGTTTTTGGCTAATAAAACTAACAATGAGTTATAACAATAACATAAATTTTAAAAGGCTGAAAAGTTCATCACATTCCAATTTTTCACACAAAATTTGAAACATACAAAAAGATGCAGTCTAAGAATATTTATATTATTGTTATTTTCATACAAAATAAATAAATTAACAAAACTAAATTTTTTTTGTTAAATACGTAAGAATGTAATAAAATAACCCAAGGCAAACTTTTCAATATTTTTATTATAACATTATCAATAACAAAATTTAATATAATACATTTTCGGAATGTCTACTCATAAGATGCCTTTTAAGGTCATTAGCTCTATAAGTAGCATATTGGCACCAATCGCACTTAAAACGACGAATTTGATTGCAATTGCTTGAAATATGTGATGTAAGATTATTTGCATGTTTATAAGCTGCTCCGCATTTTGGACACTTGTGTGGTCTAGGATCCAATCCAGTATAGATATTCTCTTGATTTTGGTAATAAAAGTTATCTAAAACGAAACATAAATGGATATTTTATTTAAAATAGTTAAATATTAGTGCTTATATATGCAATATTTGTGCATATAATAGATTTCATTTTGCTCACCCTTAAAAACCAGCAACCATCAATTACTCGAAAATAAAAAAACAATAAATAATAAAAGATATTTATTCTGTATATTAAAATAACAAATAATACCAAGAAGAATACACCAAATAAAAACCATATACTACATAATAAAAAAAAACATATATTATATTTTAAATGGTTTCAGTTAGCAAAAAGCACTGACCCATTACCCATCAAATTTTTTTTAATAAAATTAGGTCGACTTTCATTAAATATACTTGACATGTTAGATCAAGGATGAGCAACCCGCGGCCCGCGGGCCGCATGCGGCCCGCCGGATGTTTTTCTGCGGCCCGCCAAGCATTTCCCAACAACAGATTATTTTTCTAGATATTTTATCAAATACGGCTGCAAAGATTTTGTCGTCAGTCAAATTCTGGTAAAAACTGTTGTTCGAAAAAATAGCATTTCCTGATAAAATAAATATTAATTTATTTAAATATTAGTTTAACAATCTTAAATATTGCAAGAAAAATTAAGAACTTGTCCGAGAACGCATTTCTAAATTTAAAATAATTAAATAAGTATATCTTATAAAGTCGCGAGGGTTAAATCATCGTAAATTAAGTAAGACTTCCTGATAATTTAGATCCTGAATATGTCGATTTTCAATACTAAAGTACATTAGCTTAATAGTGATGCAATGCTTAAAGTAGCATATTACTCAAATGACGAAATACGTTTGTTCATATTCAAAAAAAGAAAATGTGAACAAATTTTAATTGTGATTCCAAATGTTCAAAGCTAACAAGACAGCTGTTTTCATGTAAATGTTTTCTTCGCAATTTAACATGCAAAATAATATAGATTTAAAAAATGCACTTTTTCAGTAAACCCCGAATTTTTTTTATAAATCTTATGTCAGCCTGAGAAATTCTCGCTTTTGAAAAAAAACGCAAATCAAATTATGATAAATTCTTTTTTTGGAAGTACGTATGTGCCCGAACAATTACACAGGTCCACAAAAGAAAAGTCGCTGGATAATAATTAATTCATTCAGAAAAAAATCTAGATTGAAGATTGTGCCGGTTTTTAAATGTTTTTCAATATTTTATGCCCCAAGTTTGACTATAGATTTATCTTCAGCGGTAAAAGGTACATTGGAAATCATATGTCACACACCCAATTAATTAGCTTGTGGTTAATTTCAACCACAAAATTCATAAAAAATCACCACCTATCAAAGCTGAGTAAAACATATCAAAGCTGCATGCGCGTTGCATTTCGCATTAAAAAAATTAAAATAAAGAACAAAATCAAAAAAAAAAAAAAAACGCTGATCAGCTTACATAAAAAACAGTGCTTTTAAATATTATTGGCTTTCATTTTGTATTAATATTTATAAACACTTATAATATACACTCGAAACCATATAAAATATATACTTTGTTCAATTTTATATTTTTGTTCTTTTCTCGGCAATTTTGTAATTTTGTTGCAATTACATTATTCCCGCGCTCAGTCAATACATCTTTTGACTTAATTTTAGATCAGACTTTTATCAGAGTTTATGAAAAAGCTTCAATTTTATTAAAAAAAGCAATTTATTTTTACATGGTTTGTACAGCCGTAACAATTTTTTTTAAAATTTCGTTCTTTATTTTAATTTTTTTATGCGAAACGGAAAACTACACAACTCCAAATTTTTATTTTTTTATAATAAACATTTTAGTAGTCCAATCATTTTTTATATAGCTCGGTAATCGATCAGTTAAGTATTATCGCCTTTTTGTGAACGTTTTCAATTGAAATTCGATCAAGATTTTTTTGAGCTTCTAAAAAAGCTTAAATTTATCTGCTTTATCCGTTGCAATATTTTAAAAATGGCAACGAAATGGTTACCACCGATAAAACTAAATGATTTGCAGGCTTATCCTATTGTACAAATAATTCTCGATGTGCATAAGAAGTACATAGTTTTTGAATGTCTTACAAAAGGAGCTTTAAAATCAGGAGATAAAACTGGTTTTGAGAGAAAACTGAAATTTTTTTCAGAGTATAACATAATTACAATATGAATGTTAGTATTTTAGCCTTGCAGTGAGTAAATTATCCAATATTTATTAGTATTTTAGCGTTTGCAGTGTGTAAAATTATATTAATTAAATGTAATAATATTTATACATTTGGGATTAGTTAGTCATTTCTTATACTAATAATTTTCTAAAAATATTTTCCGTAGCTAAACGTTTGCCGGGTCAGCTAGTATATATATATAAATCACGTGCGGCCCGCCAAAAAATTTGAAAATTTAAATTGGCCCGTGGCTTAAAAAGGTTGCTCGCCCTTGTGTTAGATGATTTTTTAAACAAAAAGTCTGTTTCTTCTTAAAAAATTATTTATTTTACTATTCAATTATTTTATTCAACGTTTCGGGGATATAGGTAGCCCCTTCTTCAGCAAATATTGATAACAAATAAAAAATATATTCATACGCTCATTAAATTACATATTTTAAAATTGAAAAAAATCACTTTATACATTATTAACTAAACATTTTCTAAATCAAACACTCACCAAATACGTACCAAAAACGTACCAAAATTCAAATTATAATTTCTATTAGAAAATATGTATTAATAATTATAACAATTATTTATCGTATTATAAGGTGTAAGTATATTGTGCTTATTATACAGTACCTAAATTATACAATTATGAACAAATTGCTCAATATTGTCAATAGTAAATTTAAATTAAATTAATACACAGACAATTATCATTCTTCTCACTTTCCAGTCCGTGAAGTAAGTTAAACTCCAACTCAATTCAAGAAAGAATAGTGTGAGAAATTTTCCATTGCCACTTCACACCGCAGTGCCCGAAATAGACAATTTTCAAATGTAATCATATTTTTGATCTGATGCACGATATCAGGTTGTCCAAATCGGAGACTTGAACTCACGACCCTGTCAACCCAATTTAGTGCGCCTAACCGTTACGCCATGGAACACCATACATATTTTTTATTTGTATTTTCAATTCCAAATATCATCACTTATGACCCTGTCCACACAATTCAGTGCGCTTAGCCGTTACGCCATGGAACAACATACATATATTTTATTGATATTTTCAATTACCAATAGTCATCACTACTGCGCGTTATTAGGTTATCCAGAGCGAGGGGCTGCAATCACAAACCTTTCTATACAAGAAAGTGCGCTTAGCCGTTACGCCACGGAACACCATACTTTGTAGATATCCAAGTAGTTATTTTTTATAGTAATACTAAAACTTTTAATAATCTAAACAAAATCAACGTAAGTAAATTCATATAGTTCCAGAAATGCGTGCTACATTACCACATTACACAGATTGACAACTCCAGATAAAGGGTTTAGTAATTTACTTGAATTTAATTTTAAAATAAAAATTTACAATAATTTAGTGTTATTTATTGAAATTTGATAAAAATAAAATAAGATAAGATAAAATTATTTAAAACTAAATTGACATAAATATTTAAAAGCCAAAGACAAAATGCTGATGTCTCTGAAGAATACTGCCAATCAAATGATATTGTGAAAAAATTTAATAGTTATCACAAATAACAAACTTCGGCGTTCTGATTCAGCAGTAAAATAGAGATGTTATTCACTGGTATATTCTAATATGACTTTTATCTATTACTGTGCATACGTAAATAATGTTCCTTGATTCGGTTTCTTCTACAACTTTTATAAGGGCATTTAGGGCACTCATAGTTGCTTGATGTGTTGCAATTGTTTTTAATATGGGTATTCAAATTTTTCTTATGCTTGTAGCTACTTCCACATTTTCCACATACGAATCTGGATGTGTGATCATCAATAAATCCAAAAGGAATCAAACTATTATTTTGCAAAATCGAACCTGAAAAATTAATTTCAAATAGTATAAACAAAATAGTATACAATTAATATTATGGTTAGAATGTGAGGTTGAGAAATGATTAATATAAAACATGCATGCATGCGAGGAATGAAAATTTACAGGAGAAGATATTTGATGACCAAGTTCGTTTATGTTATGTAAAATTGTCTTTGCATAGTAAAAATCCATTAAATTTTAAATAAATAATTTAGAATGTTCTTCATATAATTATTCACTATGATGGTTTAAAAATACTTCATCTTGAATTACAGCGATTAGTAGATATTCAATATCATTTTGAAATTTTCATATGAAAAATTTGTTAATAAATTCTTTACATTTTTTTCATCTATTGCACAAATAAATTTTCTTCTTTATTTTCGTAATGAGCAAAACGTCCATCTGATAATAAAATCAAGTATGAGTTAATTATCATAATCAAAATTTTTTTAGTAATTTACTCACCATTTTTTTAAGCAGAAAATTGTTTTTCTTAGCTTTACATAAAAATAACATACAGGCAAGCTCTATATACTTTTCTGTAATTAATAAATATATAAACAAGCAAAAATATGCTGTAAAAATTTATTTCATCATGGATATTATAAAATAATTATCTTAAATCTATAATAGTCTTAAATCAAATATAACGATTTCTAAAAATAAAATTTGTCATTAGCACAAACAAGTTTTGCAAAATTTGCTACTACATATTAAATTCACTGAACTGCAACTCTACAAATGTAGAATTTTTTCTATAAAAATGCAAAATGCATGTAGAATAAATCAAATTAGAAAGCAAAGTTTAGGATTTCACATGTATATAAAAAAAATCTGAATCATTACTACTAATAAATATACCTTGTTTTAATGTCATTATACTCAATGTACAATAGTAGTGCCTATATAGGCAATATAAGAATACTTTATTTTGCCGTTTACAAAAATAAGCATAAAACTAATAAATGATATATAAAAAATAATATTCCGATATAAAAGAAAATTATTTCTGACAAAACTCAACTTTAATATAATTTTTTTTAGATATACTGTATTACAAACACCTTTTTTACTTTTTTACCACATTTCTCAGATCTCATGATACATAAACAATTCTCAATTCTCATACTAAACTATTATTTTACGCAAATTTTACCATATTGAGTTTTTAAAAATATATATGTGAACAAAAAGTTTTAAATCGGTATCTTCTTCTATATTATGTAACTTTTGCTTCTAGGGTAAAGGCCTCAACTTCTCCTCTTTTTATGTGCAGACCAAAATTAGTTATGTAGAACTATTAGCTGGCGTCGTAAGTGTTGCAGCAATGCCCACTTAAGGCGTTGTTCAATTATTTCAAAAGGGGTTATTTATCCTTGGTTTTAAGTGCATTTTATAGGTATGCTGCTTAACGTTATTACTTCTGTAACTGCGATATGAGCAAAACTGCAACCGAACTCTTTGTTTCTGATTGCATTTGCTTTTTATGTTTTATTCAAATCTGTTTTTATGTATATCCAGCACCACACACGCCACATATAAAAGGTTTGCCAATGTGAGAACCATCTGAATCGTTTCGACCAAAAAATGAGGAAATTTCTTTTCGGCATTCACAAAGTAGTTGAAGTCAAATCCTGTAAAAGAAAGATTAATTGTAAATAAAGTTCATCAAATTTAGCTGATAAATTTTTATTTTAAAATGATATGATTTAATGTAATGAATAGTGTTATTCAAGCTTAACACAAGTTAAAAAATACCATTTTAAAATATCATAATACTACAGTAATAAATGCAAATATTCGTTGCTTTGGTGAAAAATATATACGTTTATTTCCAAACAGTATATTACATTATGCTACAAATTTAAATTAATTAATGATTCGAATAATACGTTTAATTATATCTACAAATTTATTTGTACCATAATAAATATATATCACAAGGGCAATTTCAATTATTTTTTAATAGCATTCAAACATCTGATTATATACTAAAATACAGAAAACAAATCTTACTTAATAGACTTAATTAAAAATTTTATATGTGAATATTAAGAAATCTATATAATTGTTAGTTTATGGTGATTACATCATTGGATTTAATTTATGAACACGTGCAACATGACTATTAATATTGCCATTCTGTAACTTCTATAAGAACAAATGGACATTTGTAGTTTTTAATCCTGTACAATCAGTACGAACATGATCAACTAAATGACATTATATATATATATATATATATATATATAATTTCTCACAAAACAATAAAAACGTCGCGCAATAAATTCGTTCCGCACATGTGTAGAATCTTGGTAAAAATATTTATTTAAAGGTCTTTTCTCCATTATATCTCCAAACAGTCTACTATCCATTTGTGATTTTTTAAATTAATGTTTTGTGAAAATATTGTGTAATTACAAGTTTAATGTTTATAATACATAGTGTAGTGCATTACCATATCCTGATACCATGGATTATTAAATTCTTCCAATTTAACACTAAGCTTAACTAATTGTAAGTATTATTTACTCTTTTTATTTTATTTTTTTTTCATTTTACTCTAATTCCATTGTTTTAGTTTTTAATTTTATTTTTAGTTTCCACTGAAAGAAAGCTAGGATTATAGCCAAAACGTTTGGATTTAAAATAAATTTTTGAAAGAAATTCATGTTTTTATTGATGTTATGCCCGATTACTAGACTTTTTTGATATATATATATATATATATATATATATATATATATATATATATATATCCATCTTCGACCAAGCCCAACATCAGGCCGCATGATTACCAATTGACACTAAGGTTATAGATCTCAAATATAATTTTAAGTAAAAATAGGTTTTTGCATTCATAGCTGCATTCAAAAAATATACACACCAAAACTATTATATAAACATATCTAATATACATATATACAATTAACACAAAAACAAGAGTGGTTGAGAGGAATATATTTCTAGGTTAAGATCTACGTCAGAATAACAGCTACGTCAGAATACGAGATCGCTTATATATAAACCTCCGATACCGTAGCTATTACATGTTTCTTTGCAAAAATATTTTAAATACATTTTTGTGAACAAAATTTCCCATTATTTTTTCTATTTACATAGAAGAAAAAAAATCATGACAAGAAGTTGTATCAATGTTAGTGCAAACTTTTGTGCTATGTACACATCTTTAGCTGTAAGATACGATGTTCAATATCCACTGATGATGACATCAAATTGTATGTCGAAACGGTTGGAATTAAAGATTAATTTATAAATCTTAGTTTTGTTATGTATAAAAAACTTACTCAAATAATCTATTAGTCAACCATTTCTATGACCCTCTCACCAATCGCATCTATTTTGTTCAAATACAATTCCACATCCATATCGTTCTCCCATTTCCAGCTAAATATAGAAATTGTCTCCAATACATTTCGAACTGTCATATGCGAACCACTCAGCAATTTTGTAATAAAATCTATCATCCCCAGTCTTGCAATTATAGTCTTTTATTGACTTCCATTCCGCATTTATCATATCTATCAGCATAGAAATAGGAGTCCTCGCCGCCATGTTTGCATAAAGGTTACTTTAGTAATAACATAGATAAAAGATGAGTATTAACTTATCTATTTCCGGAACCATCACTGTATTTTCAATACTCTAGATTCCTAATCTGATTTGGATTTTAATCTCTCCTAATTTTTAGATTTGCAATTTATCTCCGATAACTAATCACTTTGATCTGCTCCCGTTCCAGTACGATATAACCTCACTTTAGATCCGGGACGTGAGATCCAGACACTGTCTAGATTCAATGCAATATTCTCAAATCTTGATGAAATCCCTCGAATTCCACTTTTAAACTTTAAACAAACTTATTTTTAAAATAATGTAATAAAACACTGATATTCCTTCAACATGCATATATGCAATAAACATCATTAACACTAAAAAATCAGACAGCAATCACTCACACCGTCCTGCTGGTATATTATTATTATAACAACGCACTAATCAACGAACCATAGAGAAAAGAAGAGTATGCAACAAACTTCATATCTAACTTCAGAGTCTAACTTCATACGCATTCTGCCATCTTTAAAAAACTTTAAACCTATGTTTCCGTTAAGTTTAAATATACAATGAACTTCATATAACATATATATTAAACATTACGTTATATATATATATATATATATATATTATATATATATATATATATATATATATATATATATATATATATATATTATATAATATATATATATATATATATATATATATATATATTTATATATATATATATATCTAATTCTATAATATATAAGATATATTATATATATATATATATAATATATATTATTAACAAAGTCTAATAATCGAGCATATATCAATAAAAAAAAAACAATTTCTTTTAAGAATTTATTTTTTATCCATGTGATATGGCAATAATCATAGCCTTCATTCAATAGAAAAGTTTGTTAGAGTTAAAAACAAAAAAAATGAATAGTACATGGTATGAGAATATGGTACTGCACTGCACTATATGATATAAACATTAAACTTGTATTTATGACAATATTTCATAATTATGCTAAAATTAAACTATCACAAGAGAGTAAGTTTACACTATATGTGTTATCAACAAACTAGTTATATATATATATATATATATATATATATATATATATATAATGTATATTAACTTTCCGTAGGGTAAGTTATTGTAATCGTCCAAAAATCAAAATTGAAAATTTTTCATCAAAAAATCCGAATCGCTAATTTTATGTTTTCTCGGCGTTTCAAGCCATTCTGAATCGAATGAGACCAAATTTGGAAAAAGTATGTACGTGGTGTGTGTGTGTGTTAACAGATTTTTTGGCGTAAATCGACGTTTTCTCGAAAAGGGCTGGACCGATTTCAAAAATTTAAAAGCCACTCGATGTATCTCGATGTCAGTTGTCAGTTTTGTGCGACGATCGACCAAGCCGTTTCTTTATAAGTGAAAAATTTTTCGTCTACGTTTTAGCCCGCAATTCTGAATCGATTTTGAAAATTCAAAAACCGTTCGATAGGTTAAGATATTGGTTGGGAATCGTGCTGATTAGTTTTTGGAAAAAACAATTCGACGATTTTTATGATTATTTTTTTGACGGTAGATACCATAGTCTTCTAGATCATACTAAAATATTGCGGCCCTACGACAACTGGTTTAGCTTTAAAAATTCGTCAAAGTTTGCAAAAATTAGTATGGTCTTTTTGGCATTTGTCAAAATTAGAACTTTCATCGACGTTTGCTCAAAAACGTCTGAACCGATTTCAGATATTTAAAAAGGATTTGATGTATCTCGATGAGGTTTATCGTTTCTCAGTTTTGTGCGACGATCGGCCGAGCCGTTTCTTTGTAATTTGGAAAAAAGTGTAAAATCTTTCGTCCACATTTAAGCTCATATTACCGAACCGATTTTAAAAAATCAAAAACTGTTCGAAAGATATTAGTTGGGAATGATACTGATCAGTTTTAGGTGAAAATCTACCGAGCCGTTTTCTTGTAATTAACTGTTGAAAAAAAAATTTAAGCCGATTTTCATGGAACTTTTTTGGCGATGTATATCATGGTCTTATAGAACTTAAATAATTCAGATTTTTTAATTTTAATTCTGGATAAAGTTCTGAAACTCACTTATATACTTTAAATGAATAATTTTAACTTTGTAATTCAGTTTATATAACTATTATAAATAGTTACAGCACAGTATTACAGTATTTATAATAATCTATATGAAAACATTTAATATTTCTCGAACATTTCGTTACGGTACGGGAAGTTCCAGCAATTTGCCTTAAGGCACGATGCCATACACAACTAGTTTATATATAGTGTTGGTGTGTATGTGTTACAGCAATGCCCACTTAAAATGATTTTCACTTGTCATTATATTTGAGATCTATAAGCCCAAATGACATCATACTGCAAGATGCTAGAGAGTCAACCGAGTTTGGAATCCAACCCTGGACTAGTTCCTGCTAGCCCACGTTCTTAACCATTACACCACTGGACTTCGTTCTTCAATTATTTGAACAGTTTTTACTACTCCTTTGGTCTTAGGTGAATCTTAATGGTGTGCTGCTTAACGTTAGCTCTTCTGTAACTGCGATATGGGCAAAACTGGCAACCGAATCCTTTATTCTGATTGCATTTGGTTTTTAAATGTCTATTTAAATCTGTTTTGTATGTATATCCAGCACCACACTCGCCACACATAAAAGGTTTAAGTAAACGAGAACCATCTGAAGCATTTTCGGCGAAAAGATCAAAAGGTTTCTTTTCAACATTCACGAAGTCGTAGGAGTCAAATCCTGCAAAAAACAGTTTGATAATAAATAATAATACAATACCATCACTTATGATAAATATACATAAAAATGTAAGCATTGTAAAAGATACATATACACTGTTAAAGAGCATATTTCATAGACCGTTTAATTTATCATCTACAAATTTATTTGTGCTCTTGATAAATATATACAAATTATACATATTTACATCGCAAGAAATATTTCAATTATTTATGAATTATATTTAACCTCATTTTAACATTTGATTATTTCATAAAATACAAAAAAAAACTTAATAAATAGCTTTATACTTTCATAATAAATTGTCATCTATGACATGAGATAATATGAACCAATACAAGATTTACTAGTGATTACTTCATTTACATTTATGAACACGCGTTATATGACTTTTAAGATTGCCATTTCTGTAACTTCTATAAGGACAAAATGGACATTTGTAATTTTTATCCCTATTACAATTATTACGAACATGATCAACTAAATTGCATTTATTTTTATATGAAGTGCCACATTCACCACACATGTAAGGTTTAAGAGATTTATTTGATGAATTTGGAGTCGAATCCAATTGTTGCACACCAGAATCAATGTCTTTCAAGAAATATGCAGTGAACTTCAATTCTGAAAAAAGTGATAGTAATTAGAAAAAAATTACAGGGATATGGTTATTTATTTACAATTATGGAACAATAATTGAAACCATTGTAGGAAACCCAATAATTCACATCTCGTTCAATAATTCATTTGTGAACCTTTTACAACGTGTTTTTTTTGTTAATCTCACAGTAAAATATGTATGAAATAAAATATGTGTTAATCACACAGTAAATTAAAATTGCTTGTATTTTTTCTGTTTTTTATTTTAATTATTTATTACACACAATACCATTAAACATATATATTAAAAAATACAGACGCTTGAGTATTTACAAGAAAATATAAAGCGAAAAAGGTTGAATGATATATTCTTCCTCCAGCTCTAAGTTTAATATTAAAATTTCAGTCAGTTTTATAATAATTACGCTAAATTTTATGAAATAATTTTAATAAATCTGCCATGATAATTGCTAATCACATTGCCTAATGCTATTAACATTGACTATGACTAGTTTTAGTTAGCTATAATGATCAAAGAACTAATGATTTAGAGACAAATGCAACAATTACTACCAGTTAGTTCATTAAATTCTGTTTAATGTGTGAATATTTTGTTTATGAATAAAAGTAATCCAACTTCTTATATGTTACCAAATTCGGTACTTCTAATGACTTATGAACACGTGTTACATGTGCATTAATATTCCCAATTTTGTAACTCCTATAAGGACAATGAGGACACTTATGCCTTTTATTCTGATTGCAATTACTGCGCACATGTGCACTTAAGTCTCCTTTATATTTATAAGCATTTCCACATTCGCCACACATGAAAGGTTTAAGTGAATTATTCAATGAATTTGAAGTAGAATTAAAATGCTGCATATCCGGGTCCATTTTTATAGGAAAAACATCGCCAAACGTCTGATCTGAAAATAAAAAAGAAATGAATTAGAAATTGTTAATTGAAAATTAAGCAATTTGGAACTTGTGCCTTTAAACTCATATGCTGCTGATAAAAACGGCTATTTTTTGCGTTCCAAAATGGACTATTTATTAATAAATTATTTTACAAGATAGATCCATTATTTGTTCTTGTTGGTGCTTGTTCTTGTTACAGCATTGCTTGTGAAAATAGTGATTAATTTCTGCAATTGAAAAGAAATAATGCAAGTTTAAATAAAATTAAGTGGCTACTCGCTGGCCACTAGATAATAACATTATTACAATTTTCATCTTTTTCAATCTAACTATATATTTCATCCAATTCATAAAAACAGCACATTTTGAACCATCAAACATATCATAAGATCCTGATTTGTTCTTGTACTTCGGGTCCTACAGTATAGCTTCTTATAATTTTTTTTCCTGACCCATCTGAGTGAATACCTCATCCAATTACAGCAATAAAATAGTGTTAAAACTCTCACTGAGTTAAAAAAAATTTTTTTTAGATTTAGTGACACTGAGTCACTCACCAGGATGGAAGGTTTTCCAACTTTGGATTGGATAATAATATAATCTTTATTTATGAAGTAAAACTTCTTCAGGCGCGACTAGGGCTGAACTGTACAAATGCAACGGAAGACCGTTACGCTTGAGTCGAGTGCCAATGATTCGTCATTCGCTCTCAATGATATCATTTCTATGGGTCGATTGTGATTGGACATCGTGTCGCGTGAGCGTCTTTGATTGCGTACGTAACATACACGTATGTTAATTTAATGTATATATGCTAATATTAATTACATGAAGTTCTTCAAACACAATTACATGATAAGTGAAATTGTGTGAAAAACATAATCCACTGTGTGAACGAATATTACAGAATTTATTAATAAGCAATTACTTCATTTTTCTAATGAAGGTTTATTTTTAAATGCTAATTACAATGACAAACCGATCATGTCGTATTTGAAGTATGCCATCAATTACATTATTGTTTTAAAATATTATAAATATTTTTAATGCTATTATGAATATATAATTTATAATTTACTATTATATAAATATGTATAATGATTGATATTAATAAATGTGTGCAACACGAGTGTTACCATATGTATTTATTTTCAACTTAAATGCCATCTTGAACAATAGCAAACAAGTTGTACTTTAATCGCGTGTGAACCTTACGCGCACTCTTTTATTTATAAAAGTGAATAGCAGAGTTTTCTTCAATGATTTTTGGAATAATTTAACTGGCTTCCTAATTCCATTAAAAAATACAGGTTATATCACATTATAGAATAAATATTATTCCAATATTGTATATGCCAACGTAATATGACCAGAATGGAATGTTTTCCAACTTTGGATTGGATAAGAGTATAAACTTCATTTTTTGATGAAAGTGAATAGCACTGGAGTTTTCTACAGGGATTAGAATTATTTAACTGGCTTCCTAATTTCATGAAAAAATTCAGATTTTATAATATCGCAATGTAGAATATATATTATAACAATATTGTATATTTATTATACATATTTATATATTTTAACAACACCATAGTAAAACATTATTTGGATAAAATTTTATATTTTCTATGTACATTATTAAAATTATATATTATAGCATCTAATAAAATTTTAATCACACTTCGATAGTTTTTATAACAAAACTAAATAAATATATATATATATATATAGTTAGTTTTTCACACATTAGGAAAACTTCTATGCACAGCAAAAATATGATTCGTCAAATGAGCTCTCCTGTAACTTCTGTATGGGCATTGAGTGCATTGAAATTTTTTATTTCTATTGCAATCATTTCGAATATGCGATCGCAAATTTGAATTATGTGCATATCCTGCTCCACATTTTCCACATATGAAAGGTTTCAATAAAGGAATACTGCTTCCAGTATAATCATTCATCTCACTTCGACTCAGATTGACTGCTTGAAGAAAATAGTTACTGCCTGCTGTAAAAATAAAATTCGGAAAAATTAGTGGAGATAGACATATTATTTATAGAATGCCAAATATGAATTAAGTAAAACCCACGATTTTTAAATAAATTTTTATTCTCCACTAATTAACTTCATGTACAATACATTTGTATTTTATTTCAAGACCAAACTATGTCTTCAAAACTAGTGAATCGCTTAAGTCTTGAGTGAAAGATGAAAATATAAATATATCAGTTTTAATTATTCAGAAACTTTATGCATCCTTTGAAAATGTTTTTGCATATCTGCTTTCCTGACACTTCGATAATGGCAAAGGGTACATTTGAATCTTCTAAACTGGTTACAATTATTTTTTATATGTGCAGCCAAGTTCGTCTTATGCCTATAAGCGGCCCCACATTTGATGCACTTATGTGGTCGCACATCACTAAATATGTCCTGAGAAGGTCCTTGAGAAGGACCATTTATGTTGGTCGTCTCCAATGGGTAATAGTGAGAATACATTTCTGTAAGGACATAAAATAGAACAATTTTTATGTTATATCGAACAAAATAAATGCTACCTTTGAAAATAGAATAAAGTGCTAAATAATAAAAGCGTACAGCAACCGTCCTGAAAACATATTAAATATATTTCAACTCCTATTTCTAATTAAAATAAATTGTTCGTAATTGATATTTATATTATATTGAAGTAACCCATTTGTATACATGCATATATAATAAATAATGCAAACCTTTGATATATACATATAATTATTTAATTTTATACGATTATGGCATATTCAAATAAATTTTAGTTAAATTGTAGTTGAATACTTATAGTTAAAATTTAGCTTACAATTATATTAATACATGCAATCTTAATTATTATTTCTGATTTAGATAAGTATTTTTCAGCCTGTTTAAAGAGCAGAAAAATCACAAGCAATCTAATATTTAATTAAAATTTAAAAAAATATATAATTCAAAACCCTAAAAAAATCATAGGATTTTTTCTCAGATATACACTTACTAATTACACAACTCTGGATCTTACCAACACCTGCATATTATATTAACATTAATTTAATATGTATAGTATGTTAGCTCCACGATTAAAACTAAATAGTACAACTAATTTGGCAAGAAGGACCCTGTAAATTTCTTATAGATTATATTATCATATTATCTCATATTATACAATAAATTGCCTGACACTCAATTTAATATTTAATGTATGCTTTTTGTCTTTTAAACCTCTATACGATTTCAATCTAAAGAGAAGAAGAAGTACGGATAAAATGACATGGTCTTTTTTAATGATATTTATTTATTTAATGATATTATAATCCGTCTCAATCATTTTTACTCATCTTAGATTCATTTACTATCAGTAACATGGTCACTTAAATTAATAGGAACTATAACAACATATTTCTATTTAGCAAAAATGCGACTTATTACAAAAACCATGTCCATTTAGTATGAACAAAATGACATATAAAGTAAAGACATACTATGATACCAATTTTTGAGAAACCAGTTCACAAATAAATCGTTTTCTTTTTGGGACTTCAGCACATAATGCACGTGCCCAAAGAAAACAAATCATACAACGTAAGCAACATTCAGCAGACTCAGTATAAGAAAAGAGTGTTTTGCTACAAATGCATGTGTTTTCCTTTTACCAGTGAATCCTTTAGTCTGTTTTTAAAAGTAGTTAGAGCTAAAGTTAAAAGTCAATCATCTTTACAATTTTCTTTTTTCTTTACCTCGAATGAACTATCACGTAGTTCTTGAGAAATAGTACTCTGTCATTTCGTCAATCACATCTAGCAAAGTCTAAAGTCCTTGTACAAAAGTGAACAAAAATGAATAATGAATCAAAATTCCGTGAAACAAAAAAATGATCACAAAATTGCAAGTTCTGACAAAACCTCCCTCAAAATAAACATTTAAAGATGCGATTCACGTTTGAACTAATCACTGAGACAAGACTGCGACAATGACGCTCAACATCTGACACGATTGTGATTACGGCTTTCTTCATGTTATGCACTTACGAAAACGTTACTAAAACTAACCAATTTTTGAATAGGGAAAATGTGCCATTTCGCCCATATATTCTATTTTGTCAATATTTTTCCTACAACTATTTTTTTATTTCTTATTGATCTAGTTTTCTATATTATTTCTATTATATTTTTTTCTATATTATTTTGATTTTCTATAAACTTTATGCATACGTTCGTAATGAACTTTCAAGTCTCCATTTCTGCATGTACGATATGAGCACAAGGAACATTTAAATCTTCTGTTCTGGAAACAATTAGTTCTTATGTGCAGCTTCAAATTAGACTTTCTCTTATAACTCACTCCGCATTTTCCACATTTGTGTGGCCGAATAGAGTCCCATAATTCAATAGCAGACTGATTCGGCTTGGGTGTTGGTTTGTAGTCACTTAATTCAATTGTAGACAGATTTGGCTTGGATGTTGATTTGGAGTCAAATAACTCTATTGCAGACTGATTTGGCTTTGGTGTTGGTTTGGATGAAGCAACCGGAAAAATAACGATTTCTCCTGAAACTAATATTACTTGCTAAATAAATTGACAATTTGGATACAAACTGCTTACATCTAGATGTGGTAATTTTATTCGGTCACATTGATGAAAATGAAACTCCGACGTGTTACAATGTAAAATTATACTTACAAGCAAGCTTTATTTACTCGCAATATGTTCATCTATAAAACATGTTGAAAAATGCTTTTTAAGTATTCACCAAAACGATGGCAAAAAATTGTCAATGGGATCTATAAATAAAACTACATTTGACATAAAAGATATATAATATAGATCAAATAGGTACATATCGATGCTTCCGAAACGTATGCTTTTTTATACATTCTTTTCTATAACTTCTGTAAGAACAGAAGTCACATTTAAACCTTTTTATTTGATTACAATCATTTCGTTTGTGTATTGTTAAGTTGTTTTTGTGTGTATACTGAGCACCACATTTTTCACATTTGTAGGGTTTGAAATTAAGAGCCATTGTTGATGACATGTGCTGATAGTTGGAATCATCCATAGTTGATGGTAACAAATACCGATCGAATTCTAGAGCTGAAAATGAAATAATTTTTAATTAGTTAAAGTTTGTTAATAGTGCTTTGAATTAGAAATAGTAAATGGTAATCTAAAAACATTACATTTTCAACTTACTAAAAATAATACTTATATTAATTTCCTTTTTTGTAAAACTTGCATCTTCCATCGTTCAACATGTCACGTAATTATACTTTCGCAGAAACGCAATTAATATATTTACATGTAATAAATTGTGCTCAAAAAATTCAAATAAGATTTTGATCCGGAATTTCTTTGCACATATTTTTTGGAGTTTTCATGTGTATCCAGAGTACCTTCATGAATAACTTATGATTGGCCAACATCCAAATACACAAATAAAAATACACTCTTGATCATTCCTAACAGGTTATCTTCTCATTGAAGAGAACCCCTACATAAAATTCTATATAAACAAATACACTTATAGAAACAGATTTTATTTCTAATTGCTTACTTGAAATAATACAAATAACTCATAATCTGACAAGAACCTGGCATAGAGTAAAAGCACAAAACCAGTAGCATAAAAAATAATTTTATTGATATTTATTAAGAATATATACAAGACATTTTAAACATGTAATTTCATAACAATGCACTTTTTGTTCGAGTCAAAAATATTTTTTTATTTTTTTTTATCAAAATTAATGTTTGTCCCTCATGTGCTTTAAAAGAGCAGCGTTTCTGTAAAAAGCATAACTGCAAAGATGACACTTAAATTGTCTTTCTTGACCGCATTCGTACCTTAAGTGGAAATTCAATGAATATTTATGTTTATATTTTTTTCCACACTTGGTGCACAAAAACGGGCGACTTTCCATGTAGTCGGAATGTAAAGAGTGAAAATTGTTCCAATGTCGAGCTGAAAAAAAAGTTAGCTGATTAATAATAACTTGATAATATTATATAAAGGTAAATACACTTTTAAAATATAAATAAATAAATTGAAACCATAATAAATGTATACAGTAATAACTCAAATGCACAGTATTTTTTGGAATATATATTTACATACTTCAATGTACATTTTATTTACAATTCTTTGAGCATTGATCAAGATTATTAAAAAAATTTAATTATAAGGAAATTATATAAAAGGTAATAATAAAAACTTAAAACTATTAAAATTAATTAATTTGATAGCATATAATACAACATATATTACCTGACAAAGAGCTATATAAGTATCAGGAAAAAATAATCTTTATGTGATTTAGCTCCGAGTAAACTTTACATTGAGGTTAAAAACAAAGACTCAATTTAGTCATACCTTGTCATTTTCAGTGAATTCAGTGCATATTTGTCTAGCTATCAAAAACTAAACTGGTATATTATATATTTCAATGAAGTCAATTTTATGATTGTTAGGTTCGTTTAATTCGAGAAATTATTTTATTACATCACTTTCCTAAATACATTTTTAAAATACTAAAAGAAATACTATCAATTACAAAGAAACGTCCCAGCCTATCTTTACCCAAAACTGATCTGCACGATGCCCAACTAATATCTTTCGAACAGCTTTGATATTTGCAAAATCAGTTCAGAATATTTGGAAAAAACGTTGACGAATAATTGTGCACTCATCTGCTAATAATAAAGAAACGGCTATGCTGATCGTCGGGCAAATCTAATCAATGCGAGTCCTTATCGAGCATCATCAAATAGCTTTTAAATTGTGGGATTCGGTAAAGCCATCGACAAAAGGTCAACTTTTGGCTCTACATACTTTATTATCATTTTGGTGTCGAGCGAGTCGGAATGACTTGAAACGTCGAAAATACAAATAATTAGCAAATCGGATTTTCTAGCCAAAATATAAAATTCTCCTTCGGAAAGTTAAAATTCCAGCCATTGATGGATAATCATTCACCAGCTTTTCCTTTCCTTATTCATAATAGGGTTCAATTCCATCGACAATATCAACATGTTTGTGCATTCGTGCAATATGTGAAGTCAAAGCGCACTTTCTATGACATTTATATGAACAATATGTGCATTGCATATTTCGTTCCTTGCCGCATTCGTATTTTTGATGTCGCAGCATATGGGAACGATACTTGTACTCCTTCAAACAACCTGCACATACATGTTTGCCGTTGGCAGTCAATTCTGCTGTTGTCCTATTTTCCCATGGATTCCAAGACGACCGATAAATAATATCTGGAAATAGACAAACACTTCAGCAATATTAGTAATATTCAACAAAATAATAATAATCAAATATTAAAAGATAGTTGTAAGTTCCAGTACATCTGAAGCCACATAAATGTAAATACTACTGGTAAACTTAATACCATATTTTCATGTAAATGAAAATTTAAATACCTACACTTAATTTAATATCTTCATACAAACGAAGGCAAATATGAATTCGAATATAATATAAACTTTAAGAATAATAATAAATGATCAATATATCAATATTTCATTTTATTTAAAAATATAAAAGTCTCACATACTATAAATATATAAATGTTATAAAATTTGGCTGGTTATATAAAAAGCATCTTTTAAAAATAATAGTACTAATATTCGATATAATAATAGCATCTAATATTCGATATAAAATATTTACTAATCACATCTATTGTCTATTTATATATTGCTTCAATCACAATATAATTTTTAAGCACCGCATATATTATATTGTTTAAATATAAATCGCTGAGAGTGCTCAAAGACATATCAAAAAGTGAATATCAAGGGTGCTTCGAAAATTGGAAAAAACGCTGGCATAAGTGTATTATATCTGGGGGGGACTACTTTGAAGGGGACCACATTAATGTAGACGAATAAATAAATATTTTTTTGAAAAAACGAAAATTCCGGGTACTTTTTGAACACACCTATATAGTCCGAGTGTATATAAATGGTAAATACATATATATAATGTACTAAACCATATTTCAATATTACAAGAATTCAAATGGTTTTTACATATTACATTTTTACATATCAATTAATAAATCAACTAAATCTTTAACAATCTAATAACATGCTTTCAGATATTTTTAGATAATTATCTAATAATGGTAACAAAATGATAACAAAAACACAACAAATTTTCACCATATATAGTATGTATAACAAAATATTTTTATTAATTTTGCAACTACTCATTGGTAAAAATACTTATTATCTTCAATATTAAAATAACGAAATCATTCAATTATCAGCATTATTCAAATCCCGTCCATTATCATTGTTAGAAAATTATCAAATAATATCTAAAAGCATCGAATTAGATTGTTAAAGGTTTACTTAAATTTTAATCGGTATCAAATATGTGAAAAACATTGTTTTCTTGTAATTTAGAATTAATAACTTTATGTGGTTTAGTACCTATATTATATATGAAACCAATCATTTAAAGCTATTAATTCAAACTTACATAAACACAAACGGTTTTTGCACATTATTTAATAATATCAATTAAAACTTAAATAAACCTTTAAATTTACAATACAATACAATAACCTTAAAATATTTTTTGATAAATTTCTAACAATTGCAACAAAATAACAAAATTTACTTATATACCATATTATAATCGATTAATATTTTTAATTTCACAACTTCTCATTAATAAAAGAATATTTTCAAGAACAAGTCCAAGTCATAGTAGGATAGAGCGAGGCATAAAGACCAAGGGTAAAAAGTCCACTACCAATATCTTAAAAATAAGCAAAGAATAGAATTTTTAGTGATAATACTTTAAATTACAAAGTAAAATAAATAGTGATACTATTTTAAATTAAAGGCAAAAGATGTGTAACCAGCCATCTTCATTATTCTTACGATCAGAAGATAAACGGAATTATATCAATATCTATTCCAGAAATTTTTTTTTTGGTTTAGAGTTCTGGTAATTAGTTTATGAGGTAAAAGATGAATTGTTATTTTTGCAACTAAACCATTACATTAGCAAAGGTGTAAACTATAAAAAATAGAAAATAAAGAAGGAAATTAGGTTAAAAAAGCAATTTAAACTTGTGGTGTATGGCATCGTGCCAGCTAATCAGCACATCTCCCTATCAATAGAAATCGAATGTTTTTTGAACCATTCAAATCGGTTGATCCGTGCGCCCGAAAACGTGGACGAAAAAATGCGGACATACAAAACACTCACACACACACATCCATTTTTTCTGAGGTATGCCAAAATGTTCAGAAACCTTCAAAACGTGAAGATATGCAAAAATTTTCATTTTCGATTTTCGGCCAATTATTATAACTACTGTGCGGGAAGTTAGAAAAAAGATAAATTAAATTAATTCTTCTAGTCGAATGCATGTTAAATTTTTTTCTCGAAATACCAGATCAAGGTTATACACAATAAAATCTTTGTAACAAATGTTTCAATATGTCTATCACATTGGTTAAATAATGTATCTGTTATTTCGTAAAATCCACTTAAAATTAGAAAAAGTCGATGAATGTGTTTTCTCCCTAGCTGTGCCTTTTTACCCCGCCCATAGAGGTAAGATAAGTGGACAGCCTACATATGATAAGATGTGCGTGCCATATGCAGATTTGAGACAACTTTTAGGCTGCTATTTTAGGGTATTTACAGACGCACAGCTAGGTATCTCGAACTCTTACCTAATTTAAGCTTAAATGACTGGACTATAGGACCTTTCTTTGTACCCCGCACTTCCCTACATAATTTACTCGAAACCCTGTAAAATATTTTTTAATAAAATCAGTCGACTTGTTAATTGCTGAAATCAACTCACAATTTAAAATATATCGTTAAAAAGTTATATTTTTCTCAGTTGAGAATTTTTTGATCATCCCTAATATCTCTAAATTATATTCCGTCTACTGACAACCAGTCCTGACATCGTTAGCATGTTTTCGCCTAACATGTGCCGTCAAATTATCTTTCTGGTGACACTTGTAAGAACAGTGCCCACATTGAAATTGGGGTTCTTTGCCACATTCGAACCTCTGGTGTCTCAGCAGGTGCGTGCGGTACTTGTATGACCTGGTGCAAGCGTTACAATGATGGACGCGGTCCAATGCAGACCGTTGGCCGCCGAAAAGTACATTTCGAGTTTGCCAAGCCAAATTTTCCATCCAGTAGAACGAATCTGGGAACAGAAATAAGGAAGAATTGTGTTATTAATAAGTTTTAACTCAACATCGACGATTAATAATGTATATTGCTCTTGATCGATTGATTATATCTTAGCCACCTGCAAATGGAAAAAAATAGATTAGTCAATGTAATTGATGCAACTTATATTGGTCAACTGATGCCGAATTGAACTCCTACTAAAGTGTGTAGCATATTTACAATGTTTGAGGAAAAATTATGTTATTTAAAATAAATTTGATTTAAAACCAATGAAATGTGAATACCAAGTACAAAATTAATACATAAATTTGAAGACACGATACTTTATTAAATTTAAAACTTAAGCATATTTCTTAAATATATATACATATATACACATCATACATTACGAACAATTAATCTAAAATAATATTATACAATATATTCGAAGAACACATTTATAGACTCTGTGTTGGCTTAAAAACGATAATAAATTATGCGTTTTATTTTTGATTATTTTTGGGTCTTAATATATGGCGTTATCAGTTTTAATGCTGTCATTTTATTAGATCTAATAGTATATATATATATATATATATAAATATAATATATATATATATATATATATATATATATATATATATATATATATCATTTCCAACGTTTTATAAAACACATCTGAAGTCAACGGGTTTAACTATTTAAGTAAAAAAATCGATTTTTTTTACTTGAATAAAAACTTTTACGTGTAAAGACATAATTAATTAATTATAACTAGTTTAAAAACAAACTTGGACTTTTGGCTGTAATATTACAAGTTCTTAATATTATATTCTTATACAATATATACAAAATATTTTTGAACTATTACTGAAACAAATAATATTGATTATTGCAGTGTGTTTATCATAATTTTACTAAAATATTCATTCATTATTAAAAATTTACTAAAAATATTTAAGAAAAAAATCTAACTTTTTAAAAATCTACATTTTTAAGAAGTTCATAATTCGCAATTTTAAATTATTCAAAATATTTGAAATATTTTGAAACAATAACATTTGATTGTTTAAACATTTGAAATTAAATCTAAAAAATTATTACTCACAATTTACAATTAATTTAAATTTAATTTATTATTTACAATTCGATATTAAATTAAATGTTTAAAAACATCAAAATTGTTTAAAATTTATATAACATTTTGATTGTTCATAAACATTAATATTAAATCTAATTATTTGCCTTACATTTGTTTCTAAGACGACATGTTCGAGCAGTTTGACTTCTTTTTCTGTAATTAAACCAGTTTAAGTGGCATTTTGCTCAAATCTAGTTGCATAAACTTCTCGATACGTAATAATCAACTTGATAAAAAAAATCAGATTTATAGCTACCGTACTGATATAAAAAAAATTCATTCGTCTCGGAAAACTAATCAACCCGAGTCGTTATCGAATTTAATCGAATGGATTTTGAAATTTTAAAATCGGTACAGACTTTTTTGAGAAAACTTCGATCTTAGCTCGAATTTCCGCTTTCCACACATGCTTTCTCTACTTTCGATATCGATCAATTCAGAACGACTTGAAATATGGAGAAAACTTAAAATTAGCAAGTCGGATTTTCAGGCTTCAATATTCTTCGGGAAGTTAATAAATACCAAACGCTGTATTTCAAATCATAACCATCTACAATTTAAAATATTTATATTGAACATTATTTCCACTATGTCTTCTCTGTATGTGGTCTTGTAAATTACATTTATGATGGCACTTATGAGGGCAATATGGGCATTTAAATTGCGGTTCTTTGCCGCATTCGTAACGCTGGTGCCTGGTCAGGTGTTCACGATTCTTGTATCGCCTGGTGCATTTGTCACAATGGTGCATTACCACTTGATTGGTGGCGATCGAAGTATCGGAAATCATTTGTAGAAAGTTATTTTTATCATAAAATATTTTATTTTTTTTAACACTCAGCCTCACGAAACCTGAAAGTAAAAGACAAAACTGGTTAAAAATAGAATCGCTTTTTGGAACCTTCACTACTCATTGCAATTTATTGTTTTATATACAAAGTCCACACATTTAACAAAAAAAATCAACAAAAATTAAGTAAATGTACAAGAAAAATATATTAATAATGTAACAAATTACGAGTAGTAGATTATTAACTTTTATATGTATGATTATTTATAAATGCATCATGTACCTGCCTTCGGGCAGACTAGCATTTATTATATATATATATATATATATATATATATATAGTATATATAATAAAAAAAATTACAAGAATGTATAACAGAAGTCTGTCAAATATAATTAGGCCAACCGTTGGGCTGCTTTCTGAAAAATCGTTAAAGACACGAAGTGTAGCAAAATCATCAGAACACCCTTAAGTTCTGATCGCTGTTAAAACATCAATAAAATAAAAACAATATATATGTTATTGAAACTTAAATTATATCTATATGTATTTCATGAATATTGGCACAAATGAGGAATAAATAATTATTAATTATAAACATAAATAACCATGGATTATATGATGTACTACAAAAATAAATATTAAATATATTTTATAACAGAACTTTACAAATTAACATTTAAAGTTAATATTTAATACAGTACGTGTATAATTTTTGTAGTAATTTAGAACAAAACTTAAACAAGGCACTTCATAAACTTTTTCAAATTAAATTTAATGACCACTTTATATTTATTAAACAGAACTTTAAGAATAGACAGGTAAAGTTGATATTTAATATGAGTAACAATACAAAGTTTGCAGGTATTTAGAAAAATAACTTGAACGGAGGCACTTTATAAACTTATAATGCCCACTTCAAACTTGTTAATCAAAGTTTCTATTTTCTAAATATAAACTAATTCTAAAAAAGGCACACATAATTATTAAAAACATAACTACTTTTCAACTTAATAAATGACACTAAATAAATAATATTAAATACAATATGAATGAAAACTATTATTTCATACATTACAAATAAATTAAATGATTAAAAGAATCGATCTCCATCAATGAAAAAAACGTATAAATCATTCAGTTTTGCAAGTGATGGGTATATTGTTTAGGTTAGAAGTTTCTTCAGTCTTGGGTGCAACTTTTTTCCTAAGTTTTGGGATATTATGCTTATTCAACTTCCTACCTCCAATATTGTTATTAAGTGTGTATAATTCAACATTGGTATTCATATTTTCTTGTTTCACATCGGTATTATTTTCAGCCTTTAAATTAGCTTCAACATCAATGTTCAATTGTTTTGGTTTAGCCAAATTCTTCTTAACGGATTGCATAGCAATTTTTGCAACATTAACCAAATTCTTGGCTTTTTTAGCTCGCTTCTTGACTTTGGAACCTTCGAAATTTTTCTTAAAGGAGGATACTATTTCCGAATTGGGATGTTTTGCTCTCAAATGTCGCATGAGTGTATAATGTGTTGCAAGCTCTTGTAGGCAAATGGAACAAAAAACTTTTTGAACCTTAACTGGCGTTGATGAGACCTCAGATCTATCTATTGTATGATTACTTTCAGTTTTCGCGATCGAGGTTGAATTTTCATTTTGTGCAACAGCGTTAAGACTTCTTGGTGTTGTTTTTCCTGGAGATTTTTGTTTCAGTTTTGCTTCCGCTGCTACACATAAATTATTGCCGTTACTAATATCCTTCAGGAAACCATTCACTTCAACACAAGGCTTAACATCTTCTTCCAATAAGCTAGCACGCTTGGCACCTCTGGTTCTTCTGGCAATGGGACAGGGTGATGGAACTTGATCAATTTTTGTCTTAGCATCACCATCAGATTTATAATCAAGGTATACAGAATGTGGTATCATGAGGAAAGCTGATCCCAAACCGTTTATTTTTCTGTCATTTTTGGGAGTTGTGAAGCATTCCAAGACTTCTGGAAATTATTATGAAAATTAGATTAAGAAAATAATAAAAAAAATCATCATGCAAAACTATAAAAGTAACTACATTACCATACAACCAATAAAAAATTAGTAATGTCAATCGCATTAATTTTATTTATCTCATATCTGAACACAAAAGTACAAATGCAGATTCAAACATATCAATATTGACGGTAGATAAATATTAAATTTTAGATCAAAATATAAAATATCATAATTTAAAAAAAGTAAAGTCTGAATAACTCAATAAACCTGACTACTTAATGCACACACTTTGATTATTTATATTCCAGTGTTGCAATATATTCGAACAATTTAGAACATTCAAATATTCATACCTGTGGCATATCACATTGTGATAAATGTCAGTATTCAAATTATTTAGGCTTTACTGTACATATATTTTATAATAGTAGTCATGTTATTATCACTTTATGGACAAGACTATAGTATGATACCATATATAATATTCTGTAAATAAACTTAGTCATAGTTAATAATTATATTAATTCTGCTATCTCTCTAGATTATACATATCAATTTCTATATACAAATATTTATATATAAATATATAAAATCTTCTGATAAACATATTTCAAATAATCTTATTCATAATTAATTAGTTAGATAATAATAAAGCAAGTAACAATTGTTCATTTCATAAACAAGTTATAGCTCACTTGCAATAATTACTTAGAAAATAAATTTATATGATTAGCTGTTGTGATTCATAATTGTTTGGAAATAAGCAGATACATATTTTCCATTCTGAATAAATTAAATGGACTCATTAAAATTTGAGGAATAAACGATATTAAATATTAATATCATCAATACATTCAGTGTTTTATTATATTGTTACAATTTGCTACAAATTAAGGTAAGAGATGATTTAAAGTTGTCTCAGCTCGTTAATAAAATATACACATAATTTGTTCATATAATACTCTTTTAAAAAATTCTGATGTCTGCCAATTTATGTCAAATCAAACCAAATCTATTGAGTAACCTGCGAGAATTTATTTTTGCCCATACAACTTCTCATATGAGCTTTCATATTCCCTTTCTGATGAAATCTGTGTCCACACCGATCACATTTGAATTGTGGCATTTTTCCACATTCATATTTCAAATGCTTAGTCAGGTTCCAACTATATTTGTAAGATCGAGAGCATTGTGGACATATATGATACACACCATCATGATTTGATTGAGGCGGAGCTGGAAATCCATATCGAGAAATTGCTAAAACAGAAATAAAATAAGGTGTTAATTGTAAAGTAATTGGGCAAATCAAAATTATGATACAGTGAGCTGTAGCATTAAATAATTGGATTGGAATATGTTATACTGAAAATGAAAAACTGAATCAATATAGAAAAGAATATCGATTAAATTTTTTTGGATTGTTGGATAATAAATATAACTCTATATGAGAAGGAGAAGTGCATCCATCCTGAATAATTAAAGTGTATATATATATATATATATATATATATATATATATATTAGTTTAATGTATAATATAACATTGATGTTTCTAGATTCACACGACCTGAAAAAGAAAAAGACATATAGTAACAAATAAAGTTATTATGATATTACCATCATTACGTACATATAAATTAGAAACAACAGAACAAATATTTTTACAACATGGTTCATTAATAATTGAATAATATAATCATAAATCATTAATGATTTTTGCAGATTATAGAATTTCAGATTATTCGATACAAATTAAATATTACAGAAAAGGTAAATCATCTTGAATATTTAAATTACACAGCTATATATATATATATATACATAATATAATATTGGTGTACCAAAATACATTTGACCTAGAAAAACAGGATCTGTAATAAGAAATAATTGAAGTTTATACAATGCTATACATTATCATGTTACATATAAATTATAAACGAGAAATTATATTATATTATATTTTAAACAATTGTACAAGATGGTTTATTACTGAACAAATCATATAATCATAAATCATTAATGATTATTGTAGATTATGTTATTTCAGATTATTTGATATGTAATATCTAATGTATTGCAATTATTGCAACAGCTAATTTTTGCAAGCAATAAACTATACGTGAGAGACGAAGGAGAATCATGATGAATATTTCAATATATATATATATATATATATATATATATATGTAATGTAAAATGTAAATTTGTAATATTGATATAGTTTATGTGATGTTATACATTATTATGTTACATATACATTAGAAACGACAAAACAAATACTTTGTTGTTTACAATATGATTCATTAATAATTAAATCATATATCATTAATGATTCTTGCAGATTATAGTATTACGGATTATTTGATATATAATGTCTAATGTATTGCAATTATTACAACAGCTTGTTATTGCAAGCAACTATATATGGAAGGAAAAAATTAATCATCCTGAATAATCATCTCAAAATAATCATGAATATATAAATATAATATTAGTGTATCAAAATACGCTCAACCTGTAAAAAAGATCTGTAGTAAGAAATAGATTCAGTTTATATGATATAATGCATTATCATTATATACGAATTAGAAACAAGACAAATATTTTTACAACATGGTCCATTCATAATTGTATAATATAATCATAAATCATTAATGATTATTACAGCTTGTAGTATTTCAGATTATTCGATATGTAATCTCTAATGTATTGCAGAAGCTAATTTTTGCAAGCGATACACTATATATGAAAAAAGAAAGTGAATCATACTGAACATTCTATAGATATTACATATATTATATACATATATATATATATATATATATATATATATATATATATATATATATATATATAATATTGGTGTATCAAAAGACACTCGACCTGGAAAAAAAATCTGTAGTAAGAAATAAATTTATGTGATATTATACAATAAGTAAGTTTATGTGATATTATACATTATCATGTTATATACGAATTAGAAACAACAAAACAAATATTTTTACAGCATGGTTCATTTATAATTAAATCATATCATAAAGCATACAGGATTGCAGATTATAGTGCAAGAAAAACAAGAGATTTTAAATAAGTAGCTGTGGATATTTTAACAATATATTAATTGTATTTACGAATTCAGGTACAATTCCAGTTCAGTGCTGAAAACAATTCAGTAATTTCATTATTCTCTCGAATGATGGTTGTCCTAGACAATATTAGAATGATGGTTGTCAAACCAAAATAACTGTCTTGATGAACTTATTGTTTGTATAAAAACAGTTTATTTTCAACAAATTTTATTAAACTTTATACAAATATACAATGAATAACGGCACTTAATTAAAATAGCACAAACTTTAGAACTATAATAAAAATATATTAAAATAATAATTATTATACACATAATCCCACCAAAACTAGCATAATGAACATAACCTAAACGCACGTACACGCACACCAACTTAAAACTTAATGTCGTACGCATCGTATGAACAACATAGCGTTGGTTGTGTGCGAGGAAAAACAGCTGACTGAAGTTTACAATTAGAAAAGGCGCGAAGTTCGCGTCCAAAAGGAAATGTAAATTTATTAGGCGGTAAATTTTAAATTGAAGATTTCACAAAATATATAATATGAAAAATATAGCTAGTTCTTATATTATTATAACGCTTATTATTATTTTATTTATAGCGAAAAGCTTAAGAAGGGGGGGAGGTGTGAGATTTTGACAAAAACTCACAACAAATTACAAAAAGAATGTCGAAAGATAAAAAAAAACAGTTTTCAAAGATTTTCCAAAATTTTACGATTTTTGTAGGTACCAAACATGCACGTAAAATTGGTTCGGGGAGGGTATCACTAAAGTAAGTGGAGTGTGAGTAATTTAAAAAATCCCAAAATCCCTAAAAATCGATCACGTGATCAATCAACACCCCATTAAGGCAATTAAATTGCATTAACTTTCCGATGGGTATACATAATCGACTTTATCAATAAAAATTGAGATTCAGTTATTTAGATAAAATAGTCAATTGCTTATATCGAAGGTAAAATTTTCGAAGTTCACTTTCTAATGTAAAGATTAATTTATATGGCGGTAAATTTTAAATTAAAGATTTCACAAAATATCAATATGAAGAATATAACTAGTTGTAAGCAGTGTTAGGGGACGAATATTAATCACGTAAAGCTTAGAAGGGGTGGAGGGCGGTTTTGACAAAAATTCACAAAGAAAACGTGGAGAGTAAAAAAAACCCAAGTTTTCAAAATTTTTCCAAAAATTTACGATTTTCCTAAGTACTAAAAATACACGTGAAATTGGTTCCGCGAGGGTATCACTAAAGTATGGGGAGGGTGAGTAATTTGAAAAATCACAAAAGCTCTAAAATGAAAGTAAAATTTTTCAAGTTCACGTTCAAATATAAAGGTAAATTCATAAGGCGGTGAATTTTAAATTGGAAATTTCACAAAATATATGATATAAAGAATATAACTTGTTGTAAGTAGCGTTATGGGCCGAATATTAATCACGTAAAGATTAGAAAGGGAAAATGGGCGGTTTTGACAAAAAATCACAAAGAGAATATAGAGAGATAAAAAAACACAATAAAGTATGGAGAAGGTGAGTAATTTTAAAAATCACAATATCCCTAAAAATCGATCACGTGATCAATCAACACCTCCAAGGCAAGTAGCATTAACTTCCCGATACGTATACATTAGTAGAGTGGGTCGATTTTATGGGTCAAAAAAATTTCTTAAGCACATGTGAATTTCGGATACTAGGGATCAAAATAAGATACTTTGCCGAAGAAACCATACCTCTAAAATGAATTTCGATGTACCGTATATTGACCCAAAAATAAGAGGACTCGCGTTAGTTTCTCTAGAATTAGAAATAAGGTGCTACATTTTTCGATCAAATTTTCGCAAATAATCCTGAACTGATTTTGAAATTCAAACACCGTATGTAGTATATCAGTTAAAAATCAGGCTGTTCACTGATGGGCAGGACCATTTATTCATATTTATTCAGGAACAAATAAAATGATAGTAAGATAAGTTCCTACAACTAATAAAATGCGATGATTAAAAATATTTAAGAATGTGCTTTATTAAAACAATCCAAGCAATAATGTGGCTGATTTCGACAGGTCGAGCAGAATGTGACAACTTTCTTTATTCGAGTTTTTGGCAATTCTCCACGTACTTTCTTGGCATAACATCCTTTGCAATATTTTCTAACTTTAGTAGACGGACCTTCTTTTTTGAGTAGGATGTGAACATGTGGCAAATTTCTTGCTTGTAAATCTAGAATATTTTGTAAAAATAAAAAATAAAAAAATAATAAAAAATCAAAATTAAAACTAGTACATGATAGGGCCAGCCTACATATTAATATATATATATATATATATATATATATATATATATATTATATATATATATTCATACTATATCCTATTTTATTTATATAATATTGAGAAATTATACATCACAAATAATATATCTTTATTTCATAACATTACAGATTTATATGAAAAACCACATAAAATTTTATAAAATTCACAATGATTTTTCTTAAAACATGGCTAATTTATAATTAAATTATATCATAAACCATTCATAATCATAGCAGTTTATAGTACAATAAAAAAAAACAAATTTAATATTATTAAAAAAAAACATAAAATCTAACAATAAGCAATATCTTGATCTATTAATTGTAGCTGTTTTATTGATAATATAGATTGCATTATGTTAAATTCGTAAGCACAATATATCATACGAAACAGTTTTAGATTATGATAAACGATATATTTTATTTGTACTTTGAAATATAAAAAACCTTATTTGATAGGTATCTAAGCTAAGTGCCTTAAATTATAAAAATCAATCAAAACTTAATATGTTGTTGATTTATTTAATGTTTATCTTTGAGAATATGCTCAAACCTTCGTATAAAAGTTTGGCGATCAAGATATTTGGGCAATCAAAAACTAATATGAAAATTGTAGATATGAAAGGTAAAAATATAGTTAGTATTAACAATCCTATTAATTTAATTCAGCTAAGAGATTTTTACTATGGAGTAAAGAATAGATTCTCAAGGAGACGTTTCATGTTGTACAATTCTTCTCCTGACTTTACAAGTTTTCATATGAGTTAATAAATTTCCTTTCTGATGGCACTTATAAAAACAATATGGACATTGAAATTGAGGTTCTTTGCCACATTCGTAACGCAAATGAAGTAATAATGTCTTTTTGTATCTGTAGACTTTCTGGCAGTTGCTACATGTATATGGGGCATCATTGAAGAGTCCACTTAGTACAGCAGTTTTATCTAAAAAAAAGAAATATATAAATTAGTGATTAATTTGGTTATGTTGTACGACACACCATCTTATTATGTGATTCTCCCAGAATGATTTATCTCAAAATGCTGAATGACGGCCACTACAATCATGATGCAATCAGGACAATGCACAAATGCAATGATGACAGAATATATAATTTATTTTAATAAGTTTACAATCATAATGTATAGATAAATTCCAACTATATATGTTCAAATATTATTAAATTTAATTAACTTTATTTTATAAAATTCATATAAGAAAATCAACCCAAAACAAATATTTCTTGAATATACCTGTAATTCATTAATATGCATATGTGCTGGAAAATAAGAAAAATAATGTGACATAAAAATAAATTTAGTGTCAGTGGATTTCAAACCTTGAATTGTACATAACTACATAATTTTAGAATGAAACCATGCACATAATTATGAAAAATTTAAATCATCCGATGAGTTTATATACAGTGTATATTACTTACTGTAATATGAATTACTCCATTACATAAAAGCATTACATTTTGTTTAACATAACAATTTTACAAGTAAAGTGTATAAACACAACAATGCTCAACAAAAATATACTTTTTGATAATATTAATGTAAACACTGTACAGGAATCCATGTTTCTTAGTAATAGATACGTTTCAATATAATTAGAAATCTGTTAAAAATATTTTTCTTCTTTCTATTTTTATATATACACAAACTTAACCCGTTCCACCCGGATGCCACCACTTCGACGACAAAATACGTACTATCTTTACAATTCGCGAGTGAAAAGGGTTAAAATATAAATTTATATAAGATTATACAGTTTCAAGAACAAATGTGTCCTAACATTTTAAACCAAGCATGCTAATATTTCAGGCTAGAAAAGCACTAATAGAGTTTGAATAGCGGATAAACTCTAATAAAGATTACTCTTAACTTATGAGAAATAAGTTAAAATTTCTAATTTATTATTGTATTAAAAAATCTAACCCAATATTGTATTTGGTTTAAATTGTTTGTTTTTTTTTGTATTAATTTTTTTATTTAGTGTGTCTTTCTTTGCTAAATTGATACATATTTTATTCTTAAAACTGTACAATATTAATTAAATTTATATTTTATTACAATGCATTGGATAGTAAGTAATTGTATAATATGCTATAAATATATTTATGTATATATAGTTTTAAAAAAAATAGTCTACTATAATAGACTACTTATATAATTTTAACAGTTCTTTTCAGAAGATTATTATTCAGTTTCTTAACAAAATGTTTTCTTTGGACGGCAATGCATATTCTACATCTTTTATTACTAAGGCATTTGATTATACCATCAGAAATTGAAAAAAATACAGCAAATTTATTAGTATGTCATATTCTTACAACTATAACAAATATATATTCCAATGGTAAATGTAGGTAATGCTTCAATTTACATTAGTTAGATAAATACTACGAAGCACCAGACTTAATTATCACTAATTTATTTCAATGAGAATAAGTAAATTTAATTCATTCGAAGTATAAAATACGATTGAATAACGTGGTATGTATTAACACGCAGCGAGAGGAAAGGGTTAAAATATGGCAATAGGAATATTATTGTCGGTTTCATATTATTTTTAATTATTCTGCTTATCAGTGTGATGTACAGAGATTAAGTGCTTTTTGAGGTTTCCTTTAAAAAAGGCACGATAATCGCATAAATCACAGGAAAATTCGCCGGTTTCTTTTCCGCATTTGAATTTTTTATGCATATAACGACTTTGACGAGATGCAAAGCAATTCCCACAATCTGGACATTGGTAGGGTTTGAAGACTACCATTTGGAAACCTGAAAAAAAAACAAAAGACATGTTAGTAGAATGAAAACTATAACTTTCAAAACAAACCCCTTAAAATCCACAAATGAGGGATGATTGATGTTTTGTGAAATTTGCAACCTGAAGCCAATAAAAGGTTTTTAATTCTGCGCCATCCTGCTTTTGATGTCATAAATTAACTTACTAATACTTTATTTACTGAGCCATCCAAATACTAAAGTCGTGTAATTGATCAATATTTATTTGCCACAATAGCAATGTATCTTTTAACATTTCATATTATTATAATATATTTACATATTTACATATATGGAGAAGTATAGGAATTTATAAGTACCTACTATACATATATATTTTATATACAATTTATACAATGAATATAAAAATTATATAAATTTATTTTAGAATTATAAAGGAAATTAAAAAGCGTTAAAACTAAAGTAAGGTAGGCTTAAAGATCTAAATAAAATACATATTAAAATATTGATGATTATTATTATAAAGGAAAATAATACCAAAACAACGTGTTTCAGTGTAAGAGCAATATTAAGTTTTTGAACAAATTTATTAATGTTATTGCTCATTTTAATTATTATTTATCAACAAGTAATGTAGATTCTTATTTTATATAAAAACAATTCTTAAAATTATATCAACAACATTTGTTGCATGAGGAGAGTTATTGCATGATTCCAATATAATCCACAGCATTTAATTTTTTTTTCTATATATAATTATGTACAGTTCATATAATGAGTAACATCGATTTATTACTTTATCGAAATTTTTACATTTCATGATGTATACATATTATTATTACTAAGAGGAAGCCATAAATAACAGATCAATTAAAAACTTGACATGTTTTCAATCAATATTGATAGTTCATATATTGAAAATATTGTTATAAAAATACTGAAATAGTTTAACTTAATCTAAAGCCCGGTGCACACGACGCCAGTATTTCTTGTAACATATTTTCTGTCAAATTTTTATCGCAAGGAGAGCGTGTGCAAAGAAACTATTTTATTGGAATGTAAATATAAAACATGTATGTAATATGATAAATTCATGTGATTATGTTATCTCATATTTATGAGAATTACATAAAATAATAATAGTATAAAATAATAAAATGCTGGAGTCATATTTTACAGAAAATATGTTACAAGAAATACTGGTGTCGTGTGCACCATGCTTAATTGAACTTTTTTCTTACGATTTATTGTAGAATAAAGCAATAGTTATTTGAGATAAAAATGAGGCAAAGTAAATTTCATACTAATTTGAAGTCAACTTTTGAAGTAAATTTTGCAACAATATAAAGTTTTCATTACTTTATTGAGATATACAAAGAAATATGGGGAGGGCGGGGCTTAAAGGTCCGCAGGTAAAAAATCTCACCACCGATATCGCAAAACAAGTAATGTTAACAATTTTTTAACAACAATATTTAAAAGTAGAGGGAAACACATCTATCTAACTATCGAGAGATAAACAGCAATGTTTGAAAATCCATAACAAAAGTATTTTCTTTTGTGGTTAGTTTGTTCGGTTGTGAGCGCTGTTGTTTAGTTTACGAGACATTCATATAATTTTCAAGTATTAAATAACGTATTTATGTATGTATTTTTAAGTTTAAGTTTTAAGTTAGATTCAATATTTTTTTGTATAACATCTATAACAGCTTACACGTGGATGGGGTAACAAGGACCAACAGAACCTTTACCCAGGCGAAGATGTAAATAATGAAAAATAGTAAATGAAAGACTAAGTTAAAAAAGCAATTTTACAAAAAATAAATTACATGAATAGTTATTCCAACTCGACAAAATACCAGATCAAGGTTATATACCGTGTTATCTCTGTAAAAAATTTACACATAAAATTTATGTTATGCATTGGTTGAATAATGTTGTTATTATTTCGTAAAATTAAAAATAAGTTATTGCATCTGTTTGCCACCTGGCCGTCCCAATTTACCCCGCCTACGAGGTAAAAACGACCAGGTGACAAATTATTGAAAACCAGCAAAAAACACATTTCTACAATAATGAGTTAGTTGAGAATTTTACTGAACATAGTCAGATGGTTGTTTGTTTAATATGTGTTTTTAGTTTGGTTTTCGCAATATAATTGCTCAAAGTCAAATTGGATCTTTGTGCTCCGCCCTACCCTATATATGGATCAGGATATAAATACGTTACTATAAATCATTACAATAAAATTAACGGACGAATTAAAAATATAAATATACCTATAAACTATAATATAAATAAAATCAAAAATATCTTACATAAGTTCATATAAGGAAAAATTATCCTATTACCATATTATCTATTGCACATTTGAACTTAATTTACCCTTGAAATTTACAACAGTCTTTTTAGATCTAAACATTATAAAAACCCTAATGAATTCTGCTGATCCCCAGCAAATGTATCTAGGTTGATTGTCGAATCTGAATTTCTGGGGGTTGCATTGCAACGGTATTTTTTATGTTCGTGCAACCCTTGTCTGTATCTATAGGCCTTGTTGCATCTGTCGCATACAAAAACACGTTTAGGAGGGTTTCGTAGTTGACTGTAGGGTCGTCCTCGTCGATTCGGAAACCCCATGTCTAACTGCATTTTCAGAAGCTCTTCTGGAAAAGAAAAATATATTAGTAAGGGGAAATAGATACATGGTAACATTAGGATAGTATATTAGACTGAAACACCATAATTGTCTCGAAGCAACTTGCAAAATTCATTCTTCCATCCTTCTTGTAGACACATTTATACCTTAAAAGCTTATACAATACTGATAACTAAAATTTTAATAATTATACAAAAAACTAATTTAAAAAAATAAAAGTCGGTATTTAGTTTACCTGACAATCATTTATTATGATATAAACAAATACCGTTATAACATAAGCACTTTCTATTTAAATCAATACAATTATCATACTTATCAGTTTAAACACGAACTGTAAAGACTGGATTATCCAGTTGATTTTTGAATTTTTTTATTCAAGTTTTTCGAGTCTTTACTGTAATGGTGTGAAAAAAATGTACAATTTCTATAAAATTTCAATGTTGTTGTGCATTTCAATGTTGTGTCGAAATACGCAGTGTGTTTAACCTTAACCTTGATTCGTGCGACCTTTATCAAAGCCTGAAACTGAGTCACGGTCGCGAGTACGTGGATAGCATTGCCAATGAAAGCGCGTACAAGGCCGATGAATTTCACAGGTTCTAAACATTGTATATACATATACATTTAAAAAACATTTACGTGTACGAATTGGAAAAATATGATTTGTAAGAATTGGGAAAATATTGTTTAATCAAAAGTAAACAGTAGAAAAAAAACAATCATTTATTTTTATAGAAATTATTAAAATATTTCAATGTGGGGTACAAAAACTCTCACGACAGCGTTGAATGATCACTTTATGAAGGTCATATATAAATATTGATAAATAATAAAAAAATGTTGCTTTTGAAAAAATGTTTATAAGTGTCTTGATAATCAGTTTCTTGACTTTCTTATAAATTGAAGATTTAAAAATATTATTATATTATTATTTAATTTGTAAGATATCCAAACATATTATTTATTTATTTATTTTTTAACACTGGACCAAAGATATATCATAACTTCATGCACGATTTATCATTTTGAGGTTTTAAAAATACTATTACTATTAATATGTAAGTAATATAAAAGTATTAACATTGGATCAAAACTTCATGCTACAATTTATCACTGACTGACGAAACTAGAACAAAAAATGTGCTATTATATAATAATAATATGTAAAATATATCATTATATCACTGGCGTAGCAATTTATTACTGACTGAGAAAACTAGAACCGAAGTTGTGCTAAAGGATATATCATTATATCAAAGGCGTAGCAGCTGCTTTTTATTATAGAAAAAACGTGCAAATATATATTAAACAAAGTTATTTTTAGTAAACGATGCAACTAAAATGCTAACTTCACGCTTGATATATCAATTTTTCATTGACTGACGAAACTGGAATGGGAGATATGCTACAGGATATATCATTATATCACTGTCGTAGCATCTGATTTCTGTGATAGAAAACTAGGCAAAATATATATTACACAATGTCATTTTTAGTGAACGATGCAACTAAATTCCTAATAAAACCATCGTTTTCACTTTCAAAACATCAACCGAAAATGTGCTACACTATATATTATTTTATTACACTCGTAGCAGATGCCTTTGTTACGAGAAAAGAAGAAAAATCGAACAAAAGTATTTTTATTTCGGTGAACAATGCAAATAATGTACTACGACTGATATTTTTTAAATTTTTGAAATTCATGAATTTACGTTTTTACGACCAAAAAAGTGAAAATTTACTAAAATTTGACAAAACTAAAAGTTAAAATTTGCTCCACGATATATTATTTCATCAGTGGGTAGCAGCTGCCTTTTGAATGATAGATAAATCAGGCCAATAAAATATAATATACGATCATTTTTCGTTAAAGCACCTGATTTATTATTGATATTTTTAATTTGCTTAAAATTATTGTACTATCTCGTTTCCACATGAAAAACTGGAACCAAAATTTCATTTTATAATTGCTATAGCAGCTGCTTTATGCCATAGGAAAACTAGGTGCACATGATATATTATACATGTTAATTCTTTACAAAAAAGTAACTGATTTATTATTAATAATTTCATTTTTCTTGAAATAGTGGATTTTCTCGTTTTTACGTGCTAGACTAGAATCGAAATTTGCATTTTAGCAATTCCGTACCAGCTGCCTTTTTACTATGGGAAAACCAGATCAAAAGGTATATTATAAATGTTTATTTCTTGTCAACAATGTGTTATTTACGGCAAATGATATTTTTTCATTCTTCTTGAAGTTCCAAGATTTTCTCATTTCCACGTGCAAAACTAGAATCAAAAACTTGATTTTATCACTTCCGTAGCAGCTGTCTTTTTACAATGGGAAACCCATACAAATGACATATTATACAAATTTATTTTTCGTGAACAAAGCAACTGGTTCATTATTGATATTTTTATTTTCCTTGAAATTAGTGGATTTTTTCGTTTTTACATGCTAAACTAGAAACAAATATATGCTTTGCGATATATCATTTTATCTCTGTCGTAGGGTTGTAGCAGCTGCAGACCAAAGATATATTATATATGTTTATTTTTCGCAAACAGAGTAACGGCAAAATTCTCTTAAAATTTGTAGATTTACTCGTTTCTACATGCAAAACTATAACCGAAAATGTGCTACGCCACAAATGATTTTATCACAGCCGTAGCAGCAGCCAATTTTACCATGGGAAAAACCAGATAAAGATATATTATTTTTGACTATTTTTCGTGAACAATGGAATTAATTAATTCTGACCATTTTTTTATCTTCTCGAAGGTTGTGAATTAGGAACCGAAAATTTGATACATGGCAATAAATTGGCCTTAGGACTCTCCTGCACCCAAGTGTATATTATTATCCCTTCCACGAATTGTAGAATTAGCATGCATTTTGTCACCGAAGCCGGCAGAGTTAATAATAATAATAATAAGAAATAATAATAGTAAGAAATATATATATATATATATATATATATATATATAAATCTTACTATCGTTTTATATTCCGTGGTTTGTTATCATAAATCTAGAGTTCAACGTTCTTTGATATGGAGAGGTGTATATTTATTCAAGACTTGATGTAGGTCAAGTTCAACGCGCGAATCATATGTTTCCGAGGCTTACACACTGCGTATACAATTTATAAATATTGCCTGAAATATTTAAATTAAAATTTCATAAAGTTTTATCATAGATGTCCATGTCAGTATATATCATAATTTTTTACTTTAAATGATTTTGATTAATAATAATTACTGTTTAATGCAATTACAATATTTTATAACACTTTCACCGATTTAAAAAAATATGCCCATTTATAATGTAAAATTAATTGGTTAAGAACTTAAATTAATGGAATGTTAAAGTAAATATACAAATAAAAGATTTACTTATGCTATTGGAATGTCACAATTATTTATAATGGTATGTTCTTATTCAGCCTAAACCTTAATAAATCTATACCTGAGCTTATACTTAAATCTAAGACCAAGACAAACCTAGTCATATAATAATACAAAACAATTCTTATATTCTAGCATCCGAGATCTTAAAAAATCTTGGCAATAAACAACATCTAGAGGTATTTCAATTACAGAAATTTGATTATGTGTACTTTTTAAAGAAATATATATTTCTCTAATTATTGGAATGATATGTTTAGTATTTCATATCAGTAAAATAGAGAAAATTTATTGAGGTATATCGTTTCATTAGAAATTTCAATTTTGTGCTTATTCTTACAATTCTTATGCTATAAATTCAATATTTTCCATTTATAAATTTCAAGCAATTTTAAACAACAATTTATATATAAAACACATGGAATATGTTAATTTTACCTATAACAATTATACAATAAACTATTTATCCCTGAACCCATTTTTAATACTATAGTAATTTGACACATTTTAAATTTTGTAAGTACAATATTGTACTATCAATATTGTCTTTAATTCAATATTATTTTATACTTTATATTCATTTAAATTTACTAATTGGAAATTTGACACGTCCAGGTACAATTTTCTTTAACAATTACAATAATAACATTTAGAAAGGTATAAAAAATAAAAATAGATTCATTGTACTGTTATGTACAAAATTACATTTAATACTTAATACAAGAATGTTATGAAAATAATACTTCTATTAAAATCTCTTATAATTAAATTAAACATGGAATGTAAAAATACATGAAACAAAATTTACACTAAAGATTATCAAAGTAATAATTATTTTAGATCTCAATCTGATACGAAAAATAACTAAATATTACTTAAAAAATCAGTGTAAGGAGCCTATTTTTGGATAACCTCGAAATGTTATATTACGGGTCTATAATCGTATGAGTTGGTAGTCACAAACTGCAAAAAACTATGTCTTTGCTGTTCGATGAGCGTTTTACACATAAAACCTAACCTCCAAAAGGCACAAATGTCAAATAACAATTTTATCATGAGCACAACTTTCTGTTGTCACTTTTATACGTGAAGTCCATCCAAAGTAAATATTTTGAAGTTTGTGCCTTTTGGAGGTTAGGTTTTAAGTGTAAAACGCTTAATTGAACAGCAAAAACATAGCATTTTGACAGTTTGTGACTACCAATTCATACGGTTATAGACCCGTAACATAATACTTCCATTTTATCTAAAAATTGACCTGAAGTGAATAGTTTCAACATTACAGATTTATTTAAATTTGTTTTTTGAACATTTATATATTTATTAATGCTTGCAATTTGATTATTCGAAATTTTATAAAAATATGGATACAAAAAAGAGTAAACTCATTGATGGCAGACAAATACAGAAAAGCATACACATAAAAATCCATAAAAACAATACGGGGCCAATTTTTGGATGAAATAGAAATGTTATGATAATGCAAAGTTATGGGTTTATCTTCGTATGAGTTGGTAGTAACAAACTGTCTAAAAGCCTTGTATTTGCTGTGCGATCAGACGTTTTACACGTAAAATCTAACCTACAAAACGCACAATCAAATACCAATAAGAGATCTATTTGATAACACATGCGTGAAGTTAGGTTTTATGTGCAAAACGCCTGATCGCACAGCAAACACATAGCTTTTTGACAGTTTGTTAATGCCTATTCATACGAAGATAGACCTGTGACATAGCGTTACCATAAAATTTCAATTTTATCCCAGTATTGACCGTTACATATTGTCAATTTAATACTTGTTTTAATACACTTATATTTTTGGTAAATTTTTTTATAAAATATATTTTGATACTGATTGAGACTAAAACCGCTAATTTTGCAAAAATGGAATAAAAGGAGAATATTCTAGAAAACGTTATATTAACCCTTTCCCCTCGCGATTTGGGAAATTTATTGTATTTTGCCGCCGCAGTGGTGGCATCCGAGTGGAAAGGTTTAAATTATACCAAAGCATACAACGCATCAATACTACCTAATGTAAAATTATGCCTATTATTTAATAAAATAATATTAGATAAAAATAAAAATGTAATAGATAAAAAAACATAAAAGAATCTATTTGAAATTCTGATAAAATAGTCTTATAACAATTATTTCAATTCACCTATCTTGTATTTCTGCAATTAAATTATTTCATTAATCATGCTATATAATTAGCAACGTAATTACAATAAATTCGACTGTTTTCAACGCGTATGCTTATTCATAACATGGTTCTTCAAAGTGCTTTTCTGGTGAGCAGCATAATGACAATGCTGACACTTGAACATAGGTTCCATCCCACATTCGAATTTGGTATGTCTGATTTTGCTGACAGAGTGCTTGTAAACTTTGCCGCATTTTTCGCAGGGGTATACCACAGATCCAGTGGCGGTAACTACCCCGTGTCTGCGTTCTCGCTGTTTCCGCATCACGGCAGAAGGGTTGAAGCCAACACCAGCACCTGCTGCAGCAAGAGTCGCCAGGTCAGGCACGGCTGCTGCTGTGACGCCGCGGCGAGCAAGACTTACGAAGTTCCACCAGCGTTCGACCAGGGGCTTGGCTGCGAGGGCTGAAACAAAGCAGATGTTAGAAAAAAAAAAATAATGAAAATAAGTGCAGTTAAGTATAGTTAATAACGCGTACCAAACACCAACAAAATTTAATCATAGTAAATGCATGAATGCAATATTACTGAAAAGTCATAAAATAATTATATAAATAAACATTTTGTTTAGCATGCACAAACTCACACAGACGACAAGTATGTATGTATGTATATATACATATTGATATATTAGATAGTTTTGACTTGGATTTGTAAATGTTGAGCTTCAAACAAGGAATCCAATAGTAATAAAAAACCAAATTTTTTTAAAAAAAGCTTTATTTATTAACAACATTTTGGAACTATGTACATTCCATCTGTAGAACAACTGCATGATTGATTATGCACTAACACTTAGTTTATCACTAAAAACAGCTTTTTTTGTAAAAGACGTTTCAATTTGTTAACTTCCCGCAGGGTAAGTTTTAGTAATCCCCAAAAAATCGAAAATGAAATTTGTATATATCTTTACGTTTCAAAACTCTGAACATTTTGGCATACATTAGAAAAATGGATGTATGTGTGTGTCTGTATGTATGTGCAAATACAATTTTCGTCGGCGATTTGGAGAACACGGATCATATCAGTTTTGGAGATTCATAAAAAGTTTATGAGAGACGAATCAAAAAAAAATATAAATAATAAATGAGTGATCAATATATACATATTTACATCAAATTATCAGGGTATTGTATAGGGATTTTAATAATAAGTACAAATTTTGTTTACACTTCTTTGGGTTTGGTTTCTAAAGCAGTTACGCAGCGCGATTGCATTGAAACCAACCATCGAAATTTCAAAAAAAAAAAATCCATTTTTATCAAAAATTTTAAAATTCTCAAGAATCATTTTTTCAAATTTTCAAAAAAAATTAAAGTTTAAATAATTTTAAATTTTGGTACGGAATGTTGCAGCAATTTGCCGTAAGGAAAGATGCCATGTACTACTAGTTTTTAATAATTTTTTCTTAGATAGAAGATAACACTTTTTGTTTCTAGAAATTTAGTATATTTTTATAGATGAATTTATGTGTTGGTTGTAGTGTGAAATGAAGTAATTTTATTCCTTCGGAATATGATTTTGTGACAAAGTTGAGTTAGGCAGATGTCCTGAAGATGGAACGTACAAAGTTCCGAAACGTTGACAATAAATAATTAAGTTTTTTTTTTTATTACCATTGGGTTCGTGTTCAAAGCTCAACACAAAATACATACATTTATATAAAATTATTTTAATAAACACTTACATAATACTACTAAGTGTTATCAATAATTCATAGAACACACTTTAACAAATAACAATTTTTACCTTATTACACATTAACCACAACCATAATTTTGTATATTATTTTATATCACAGGATCATGTGAGCATTTCTAATTTCTAAAAATATTATTAATTCTAGCAAGAAAAACAAAGAACATATAATCTCTTTATTAAACATTTTACAAATTTCAGTAAAAAATAATTCTCATCGATGAGTTTCTACATTGCATCCAATTTCTTCCCTCATGGTGCCTATTCCGATTTCCATTTTCAATTTTTTTTCATCGTTTTGCCCATTCAGGTTCATAATATTCTCAAAAAACCAAACATTTCAAGATAGTCATCAACGTTAGAAATGATGATTTTTTTTGAAAAATAATTTATTTTTAAAATTTATACATACAGAACACAATGGTAATTTTCGTGCTTAATATTATATAAATTATTCTATTAAAATTTAATACTTATAAAATTTAGTTTTTAAAAATTCATACTTAAATAGTCTAAAATAATTATTAAAACATAAATATAAATAAAATATTGATAAATAAATTAAAATTATTCCACAATATTATGCAGAGAAAAGTTTATGCATTTTTTATATTGTATTTTCTCAGGCTTGTAAATGGAATTCGGTACACTTGAATCGAAAATCTTTGCCACATTCAAATTTCGTATGAGCCTTTGATAATTCAAAGTTTTTATATCTTTTTCCACAATTAGGACATGCAAATCCAAATCTGATGATGACTGTGGGATATTCCAGAACCCTCTAAAACCTGAAAGAAAAATCTAATTAGTTTGAGATGAAGTTATTATAATACTGTATAACTAGAAGCTAAAAAAGCTAGAATACTTACATAATTTATGCTACATAAATAAATTTATAAAATAAAAGTTCTTTTACATATTTCAACAAAAATTTATTTTTCAAATCAGTAAAATAATTACATAAGTACAATTTATGAGAAATAAGGAAAAAAATGTGACCAAACATTACATTACACCCAATTTGAATGTTCACCATGACTTTTCGAATGTCTAGTATAAATGTGCATTTTTAAATTATATTTTCTTTTACTCGAATGTGGACATAAAGCACATTGAAATAAGTTTCTATATTCACAATCAACACCTTTTAAGTGTTCCAAAATATTCTTCACCAAGTGGTATTTATTTCCACAACCTCGGCAAGTTTGATTGATTCGTTGTGAAGATCAGCCAAATTGAACATCAACTTCAATCTGAAAAAAATAAGTTTTTGTTAGGTCCAGAAAATAAAACTACAATACAAATCAAAATACACTAATTGTAAGTATACTGCACAAGTAAAAAACAAACACGATATTTTATAATTAAAAAATATTTTATATTACTTTCAAACATTTTAATTGTGTGCTTACATTATTAAATAAGACAAGTAACTTTGTATTTATTTACAATAAT